ACTAAGCCATTGTCTGACCTTTTGAAAAAGGTTGTAGAATGGACTTGGTCAAAGGAGCAAGAAGATGCGTTCACTTCAGTGAAGCAATCTCTTGTAGAGGCACCGGTCTTGGAATTTTAAGACGCGGATAAGCCCTTTAGCGTCGTCTGCAATGCAAGCAATTGTGCAATCGGCAGCGCGCTCATGCAAAAGGATAACAGCGGCGTTGACCGTGTCATATCTTATCAGTCTCGGCTTTTGAAAGACGCAGAGCTGAATTACCCTGTGCATGACAGAGAGCTACTTTCAATTAAGTATGCCCTTGTAAAGTTTCGGGTGCACCTCTTGGGTACCGAACCTTTTGTGGTTTATACGGATCACGCATCACTGCGGACCGCTATAAATTCACCGCACCTCTCGCCGAGAATGGCGACATGGCTGACATTCTTCTCTGAATTTATTTCAAAGTTGAATATAAGCCGGGGAAGTCTAATGTCTTGACTGACGCGTTATCGCGCAGGTCAGACTTCGAGGCAAGACACCAGGAAAGTGTGTCTCGTGCGAAAGCACAAGTTGAGTCGTCAATATTGGCAGCCATGAAGGCCTACCATGTGACGAGCTCAATGGCCTCCGATATAAAGGAGTGTTACAGTCAAGACGAACATTGTCGCCTGCTGTTGGATCATTATGGTGAACAAAAGGGTACCTTTCAGTCGCACCTCAAAGCAAAACTTAAATCGCTTTAGTTACAGTGATGGCCTGTTATGGAATCAACTGTCACCCTGTGATCCCTTGAGAATCTATGTCCCTCATGACACAGATCTCAAGCTAATGATACTTTACGAGTGCCATGATGCGCCATCTAGTGGGCATCTGGGCCGTGAAAAGACATTCTTACGAGTGTCAGAGGAATTTTGTTGGCTCCATGGGTGGCCAACTGTATTCTCTCTTTTGAAGAGTGTCAGCGCATTAAGCCTGCACCTTCTAGTAGTGCGCCATTGAAGCCACTGCCGATACCAACGGATTTTTGGAAGTCGGTAAGTTTGAACTTCATGTTTGGATTACCGCCTGACCATAAAGGCAGGACGGAACTCGTCGTCTTTGTAGACAGACTGAGCAAGATGGTGCATTTAGCACCATGTAGCACCAAGATCTCAGGAAAAGAGGCTGCCCTCTTGTTCCTGGATCACGTGTATCGACTACACGGGATGCCCGAGTCCATAGTATCGGACCGGTATCCGCGTTTTATGTCGGGTTTTGGCGACATGTGTTCGAGATGCTGGGTAGAAAGCTCCACATGTCAACCGCTGATCATCCCCAGACCGATGGCCAAACAGAACGAGCCAATCGAGTCGTGGCGGATGTGTTGCGTAAATTATCGACTCCCAAAGAATGGAGCAAGCAATTTCCATTCGTGGACTTCGCTATTAATAACAGTGTTTACGCCAGTACGGGTGAAACACCGTTTTATATTAACGGACTGCGTCATTCTCGAACGCCAGTCTCGTTTGTACGCAGCCCGAGTCTTAGTGGAGGAGGGCCCCTCCCTTCGCTCGGTGCGAATGCCAAAGAGGGCCAAGGTTGCCCTAGTGACACTGCTAATTTAGCAGTGGTCACGACACCTATAGGTGTCACAGAGGAGGCACGGCAAGAAATGCCAGTGCTCCTTGACGATGACACTGTCGTGTTATCAACAGCGTCGACCCATGAACGACCTCTTGGAGGCGTCATCGGCGAGCTGGATACTAAGAGCGTGAGCAAAGCTCAGCGCTTTGTGGATGAGCGATTAGCCATCACACGTAAAGTCCGTGACGCGATGGTAAGCGCACAGGACAAGCAAAAACAATATGCAGACCAGCATGGTCGCAAAAACAATGAACACTTAAGTGTGGGGGACAAAGTGCTATTAAGTACTGCTACCCTACCTAAACATGCAATTTCTTGTACTACCTGGTGGTACTACTAAGCTATTGCCCCGATTCATTGGGCCCTTTACGGTTAAAGAAGTTGGAGACCTAAATTATAGGCTCACTCTCCCACCGTATATGAAGACGCACCCCGTATTTTACGTGGGTCGTCTGAAACGGTATGTTGATCCAGAAGAGATCACATATCCGCATCGGTATAACGAGACCGATGGTGACGCCGACTGTGAGTCGAGCGTCGCGACCGATCAGGAGACGAGGAAGCCGAGAGGCTCCCCGTATACGAACGAGGTCTCGGTAGAGGACACGGTGGACGAGGAGTACTTCGCGCTTGACGCGGGTCTCTCATCACCAGTCGCTCTAAAAGATCCAACCGAGGCTTCAGGCGGTCATACCCCTGACGATCCTCGCCCTCACATCGCGCAGATCCGAGGTCAGTCGCGAGACTTGACTCTAGAGATCTGTCATCTGCCTCTTCAGCGCAGCGGACTCAGCCTGCGACTGAACAGCAGCAGGATAGGCAGCCGCGAGTAGGTGGGCGTAATCGCCACTCCTATCGGGCGCCACCTGTGTTGGTGGACACGGATGGGAATACGCGCTTCCTTGTTGGAAGGCTGTTGGCCCACCGGTTTGTAAAGCGAAAGCTCCAAATCCTTGTCCAGTGGAAGGATTACACAGCGATCTTTAATTTATGGGAGCCTGTTAACGCCTTGAGCGTCGACGTGCCTGGGCTGGTGGCTGCTTATGTGAAGCAGCACCAGCTGTCGTCTTTCTGCTAGGTCCGGAAGGACTAGCAGAAGAAGCGTAGAGAGAATCACTTGGGGGTCGCTTACCACCCAAGATTTCATTCGCACGCGTCACGGCTGATTCGCTGCGACCGCTGTTTAGTTGCATCTTCATGCAAGGTAACACGGCGCCGAAGTTCAGCTTCATAGTCGTCGGCTGTTTCGTTAGAACGCAGCACGACTGGAATTGGGAAAGCACGACCAAGTGTTTTGCCCTGCTTTTTCCACAAGGGAAAGAAGCTATAAAATTTATGGGCGTCAATAGTTGCACGCTGCAAAAGCGCTGCGCTGGACCCATCCGAGTTCATCCACTCAGATGGAGGTGGCATTGGTGGCAAGCCACCACCCACGTAGCCTCCCTCGCGACGGCGGGCTAGCGAGGCCAAAGGTGTACTCGGTGGAGCTTTGAGCTTACACTCACCTCAGTCTGGCTCTCCGTTATGGATTGTCAAGACATCAGCCTGAGGAGTCACATTAAATTGAGTTGCGACTGCTCCTTTCGAAGTAGCGCGCTCAGCCTTAGTCGCTGCGCTCGAAGGCACAGGCGACGAGGCCTTACCTTCGCTTGCAGGAAGCACAGACGCTCCCTCAAGGACGGATACCTCAAATGTTGGGGACATATGTCCCATCAACGCGCTTTGCTTATCTCCACTTTGGGGTGATCGCAATGGCGTGCTCTCATTGTAGTCTACAATGAGAAGTGAATCTTCATCCACATTTCCCTCGAATTACATGATATTAAAGGAAAATCTTTACGTAAACGACAGTGAGATGAAAAATTCGCCTCAGTGCCTGAAGCACTATGCGACGGCTGCGAATCATCGTGGCGCGTGCGCTTAGTGCTGGACTGCATGGGCGCCTTTTCAGGCGACCCATCAGCCTTACCACGTTTCAAAGGCATGAGAATTGAGTAGACTAAGCGGCGCGTTTTACAAATCACTCTGTCTCCTAGGCGATGTTTTACAAAATGTAAAAATCGTTCTAAAACGGAGGATGGTATAACAGAGTGTCTAGTTACACGTAAACATTAGGTAATATACTTAATGTAAGGTCTAAAAGTATCCATGATTACTTTTGACCTGTCACTTGGGTGCGATACACAAACGTGATCCACCCTCGTGAATGTGATAGCCATTGATGGATTCACATGGGAAGGGATGGCGCTAGCTGAAGCTAGGCATCGCGACGTCTCAGAAGAATGTCATTCGCAAACTTAAATCTAGATTTAGGCTCATGCATTAGGATACTCTTCTAAAGAGTCGCGTATCCGATCTCTTATATATATATATATAGCCAATCAGTAGTTATGTTTATATTTAATTATAATTCATTAAATATAAATCAGTCTTGAATTGCCTAAACGCAAAGCACCACGCACGAGAAGCTGAGTAAGCTTCTGCGTGACTTAAGTAGGACACTTGTTCAGAGGTTCGTTTCGCTCTCGCTTAAGCGATAGGAAACTGGTGATACGACTGTTTAAGCAGTCGACCAACCGCATATCCTCCCTCGCACGCGAAGTTAAGACGATCTAAACGCTTCCTCGCTTGTGCTGAAGGTGTGCGCTAAGAAGCACGAGGCAACTTCGTAGAAGTGGCCCGTCTACAATCTCTTATGCTTAGTCCTCTGTCACGCGCTTCTTCTGGTCACACTTATGCAGCAGCGCTTACCCACATTGGGTGGCGCGCGCAATTTGGGCTCATAACCTGTAGAAAATTAGGAAGGCATGACAAAAACACTTAACTTACAAACGCATGCCAGACGCGTTTCGGCCCGCCGCCGCGGGCCTACTCAGTAGCTTACCGATCGCAAAGTAATCTCTCTCTAGACCTCTACTGCTGCCACACGTTAACCTATGCATGGAATATTCTAAAATCTACCTCGCAAAAGACTATTCTAGCACTACCTAGCAGACTTCACGGCGTACATCTAGTACCTGGATCGATACAAAGTCCCACCTTTAAACAGGTGACACTGTAAGCAGGTGCCTCTTTGCTGTACCGACTATCCTGTTATCAGCATAGGCAGAGCGTTACAGGCCGCGTCTTCGACCCATCCTCGTCTTCCAACAGGCAAAGCCAGGAGCAGGCAGGCAAAATACCACCACCGGTCCGCTAAATTTATAAAACCCTCTTCTGCCTAGAGAAGAAGACTTCGCTAGTAAAGGTCTTATCAAGCCAGACCACTGCCTGTCGTATCTTACTTAATACATCTGCATGCATTTTGACGCTACAGATTAAGTCATTTCTGTTCCTTAAATCGTGACGTCGGGGTAGTGATACTTTCAAGCAATAATTTTTTAATATTTTAGAATCTACAACTTGTATCGACGTGAGCGTGCCAGCAGGTCAGCTGCGTGTATGACACCCTGAAGTTTGCCGCGGTGTGTGACGAATAACTGTGGACACTTGTGTACTGAGATAAGCAGGATCAAGTGGCTGGCAAAAGTGTCGCGAGGTACGTGAATGTATTCATCTTCCAGGCTCAGTACTTCAAGGTGCACCAAATCCACAACCTCGGACGTCTCTGTCGCTGGGTTTGACAACACAATGGCTTGCTTGGCCGTGATGCCAGCCACCGGAACGCAAGTGTAGTTTGAAGCTTTCCCACTTCGAAGACTGATCTCCCATCGTACAACAAGAGACTCTAACTCCTCCCGGATGGCAACGCCTAGCATGATCATCGTCCTGACATCATCTATGACTGGAAACACATCAACTACCTTGCCCTTCTTTCCACGGCTGGTCACGTCCAGCAAATGCTTGATTGAAGCCAATGTTTGGTGCCGAACGAGGTAGAAAGACGGTACATCGCGCATGAGATCACCGGCTGAGAGCGAGTACGATATCTGCTTTGTGAGGTCTGGCCACTGCGGCAAGTTCTTTTGACGAGCCATTGTCTCATACATATCGAGCGAGAACGACCGCGTGACAGCACGCCCCACGATCACGCAAAGGAGGACTGGAATCATGTAGCTTAGCTGGCCTGTAAGCTCGAACACAATCACTGCAATACTGATGGTTCCAGTGGCACCAGCCGTGAAGCTGGCGGCACCAACGACTGCGTATCCTCCGACAGACAACTCTCCTTCGCTCAAGATCACGATCATTTCGCCAAATAGACGACCAACTACTGCACCAATTGCAAACACGGGCGTGACAATGCCGCTTGGCACAAACACCGTAATGCTGATAATCATAGACCAGAAGCGTACAATCACGTAGAGGAACAAGTTCATAATCAGCGACGGAGATGTCCAAGAGCTGCCGAAATCGACTGACAAGTGAGTTGTGTTTGATACTTCATGAGCTGTCAGCGTTTTTGTAGAAAACATGTCATTGATAGTCTGGTGTTGGGTAAGCTGCATGAAGCGTCCAACTGGATACTCAACGAGAGAGAATAAAAGTGCCACCAATGCAGCATAAATGAACGGAGAAAGCCCGCCACACAATGGTAGTAAGAATTGGACCATCGATCGTTCTTTCAAATCAAGAATCATGCGGTATGACCGTGCTAAGAGTCCAGCAAGTACTCCACAAATTACTGCAAGCAACAAAAAGAGCGCAATCTCGCAATTTTTGTATGGCAGTGCATCGAAATCAGTCGTGAAAAGCGAACCGTGCGATCCAGCCAATAGACTATTAAGACCACGAAAAACCACAACACTCACGACAGAAGAGAAGAAGGCACGCCAATAGTTGGACGTCACGTAGTACGACGTTGTGACCTCGATACTGAAGAGGACACCGCCGACTGGAGCACCAAATGTTGCAGTAACTCCAACAGCACAGGCCGCAGCTAGCATATGTTGTGTTAGATCGTTTGACTGCCGGATCTGCTCAAACAGCGGCAAATTCAACAATTGTCGAGCAATGATGGAGCTCAGGTGCACGAATGGTCCCTCTTTGCCAATCGTAAGCCCACTACTCAGTGCGAATACCAAGCCGAAGCACTTGGCGATCAGCGCACGACCAGTGAGATAATTTGGAAGCGGGAATCCTCCTAATATGCTTTTCATCTCTGGTATACCTGACCCGACGGCTTCAGGACACACCACAACCGTGCAGCCTACTCCTAATAGCAAGATAAAAACTCGAAAAAGGATGTACAACAAATACTCCCGCAGCCATCCTTCTCCTAATGCTGTGAAGCTCTGATGCAGTCTAGAAACAATCAACACGCCAGCATAAATACTCCAGGCTGTTATAGATGCTAATGCACCCAAAAGCAGCAGAAAGACCCAGGAACTCTGCAGAAATGACGTCATGCGCTCGCGCTCAAGCAGAGTGCGAGCCAATGGAATAAAGGTAGTCTCCATATCTATTAAAGACCCAGAAGCTTCAGTATCACACGTCCGAAAGCCCTGAAATTCCTCCAGCCCCTCGTCGTCGTCGTCAAGCAGCTGCAGCGGTCGGTAACGTCCGTTTAGCGTGTTTAGATCCGATCCTGACTGTTTCATGGATATTTTAGCTTGCTCTAGAGCTTCAAAAGGTGACCATCCATTTGTCCACTTAGTTGTAGCACTTAACGCATTGACGTTTGCTCTCTGGACGGTGTTTACGGGCGGAGCGCAGGAAGTGGCGACAGACGCAGTCGTCTGGACGCTCTCACTGGAGTTAATATCATGAATTGATATAGAGTCAGATATAAACAGAGAGAATGAGCCTTTATTGTCCGCGTGGGAGGACGTAGATGCTGCGCTGGACGAGGGCGATGACATGCTTGGCCGGTTGAAGCTTGATGCTTATCGAGGGTTCTGATCATATATCAAGTTTAAAATAGTACTTTGAATTATTTTAATTATTATTGTTATTTTAGACGGATATTTAATATATATTTGATTGCTTTTACATAATTGGATAAATGGATATTTATGTACGGGCAATTCGATGTATCGAATATCCGTCTTTTTTCTGGTGGGGATCATGTAATTGTAGCTTGTATTATGTACAACTATAACGATTGAGCGAATGAATAGTACGTTTTATGTTTTAAGCATGTCGCTTGATATATAAAACTGAATGAACTAATTAATGGGTCTCTCTCTAAAGTCCCCGCGCTAAAATGGTGTGAAGTTTGTACAGCGCGTCTGCTGCTGAGGGTCGATCCTTGGGATCAATGGACACACATGCCATTCCTAAGTCCCTAATAGCTTTGGGGGTTCCTAAAGAAAACTCGATTCGGAGTTTACCCGACGCCACCAATTGTAAAATTGCTAGGTCAGGCATCGCTCGGCCGGAATTGCTTTTGTCCTTGGAGTTAGCATAAGGAAGCAAATGCTGATCTAATTCGGCCAGCACAACACCAAACGAAAACATGTCGGCCTTGTCGTCATACCGGTCTCCCATCATCACTTCCGGTGCCATCCACCGAGAGGATCCGACGCCGCCAGTCATTGTAAAGTCGGACCGTTCTCGAGAGACCCCAAAGTCTGTGAGCTTTGCATCCAATTGTGATGTCAGTAAAATGTTCTTGGACTTGAGGTCACGATGAAGAACGGGTGGTGACAACGAGTGCAGATACGTGAGAGAGTGAGCGACGTGGAGAGCAATTGTAGCTTTGCTTCGGTCAAAGCCAAGCGGAGTGTGCTCGTCTTCGCAATTCTTGAGAAGAATTCGAAGATCGCCACCTTCCATATACTCGGACAACACGCAAAGATCGGTGAGCGAGTCCCAGGCAACACCAACGAAATGGACGATGCGTTCGTGGTTCAGTGTCGCCATCAGCTTGACCTCCGCCAGAAAATCGTTCAAGTGACTAATACTCTTGCGCATTTCTGGCAACAACATTTTCACGGCCACACGTTCACCATTGAATAAGCCCACGTAGACTTCCCCATAACCTCCTCGACTAATGAGGTCCTGCACGAGAATTTTTTCGCGAGGAACACGAGCGGTAACAATGATCTCGTCGTCCCACAACCCATTAGCCCCGCTTCGGCCACGTATTTTCTCTTCAGTAATTGTATTATCCTGTGAGTGCGAGGATTCCGAGCCCAGCGTGATAGCATTCAAAGCGCTTTCGGGTGTCGGGTAGCCGGCATAACTTGCAGCAAGAGCTGCAATCCCTGTGTCCTTCTGAAAGTTGTTATCGTACCGGTGTCGTATAAACCTAAACGTAGCATAAGCCAGGATTCCAACGCAAGCAACCACTCCAGCTACAATAGTGACGACAACGCCGCCGCTGAGACCATCGTCATCCAAGCTGTCCTTCAACTGGTTGCTTTCAGAGAAGTATGTCGAGCTGCTATAGTCGGTTTTTTTCGATTTTAGCGAAGTGTAAAACCTGTAACGCTCTTGAATGCAGTCGCCGTTTGAGATTTCGTCGTGGTTGAGCTGGAATTCTTGCGAAGGTGGACTGCCACAATCACCACTTTCAAAATTTAAAACAGCCGCTGCGCCGTTTTCATAAAGACGCACAATGTTAGACTCATTAGCTACTGCCGACGATCTCTCGCAGACACCTGACGTCGGATATACGGTAGTCTGAACCAATTTCTGGCATCCAGCTTCGCTGTACTCTTCCATCATCACGTAGTCATTTCCTTTAAAGCGATCCTTCGTATACTTGAACCGGTCAATGACGTTGCATGATACAGCCACGAAAAGCGTATAGCCACCCAGGTCGTGTGCCGTACAGGCTTCGGCATCGCAGCTCTCTGCCTCGACCATTTTGAGGACATTGGGCGTACCAGCGCAGTGGCTTCCTGAGTAAAGCTCCTTTGCAATTAAATTTATCGCGATCAAGGGCGTCATGAGCAGAGAAGCCATCGCCATCGCCCTAAACAGCCATCTGCTGAGCGACATCGCGATCGGTACGCAAACTTTCGCCTGAACGACGGTGTTCGTGAAATGAACATTTAGCGACGCTGTCTCTCTTGCGGTTCAGCCCATTATCTCTGCGATTGGGAAGATAGCCGGCTCCCCATCATGGACAAAATCTTGATTGGGTGAAGACAGGGGACTCCTACATCATGTAAGCCGAAGCGACTACAAAAACTTGCCTGATCTATACTGCCTTAACTAAGGACAACTGCTAAATAATTCGGGTCGCGACCAAGGTAATGCTGCTAACTTGTCTTAACTGATAGATTCCCACAGTCTCAAGGGTATCACTAAACATAAGTTCTTCTTGCCAGATTTTCCAATCTCGTGGTAAATATATCTGCAACTCTGTGCGAGGATACTGCTAATCAGATACTTCGCTTTCGTCTTCAAAGAAAGCTGATAGCTGCGTACATGTTTCGTTTCATGAGTGCATAACTCACGGTTCTACGCTTCACGCAATATTAAATGGAAGCACATGACTACGATTGATGCACGACCTACTCGACGATACACGCATGTTAAATTTAATTCTAGTTCAGGAACTGGGCTACATGTCTTTTTTAACGCACGTATCGACGATATCCATAGAAAGATGAGCTATATAACTATTTATATTAAATTTTTTTTTTTTAATTAAATAAAAAAAATTTTTTTTTTAATGTTCCTTCTCTAAACTCATACCCCAACTTTGACGAGAATGTTTAGTTTTTATTTTCAACGTGGTCGTAATCATGCTCGTCTTCGCTGCATCCTTATTAGTCTGACCTGCTTTACCCGTTTGTCACCACTTGCAGTTGTCGGTGCACAGCTTACTCGTTTACTAAGACGTTTCCCAGTAGCTGCCATGCTAGAAGCCTCATAAAAGTATCTATCCCTCGATCTGCATGCGACAATGAACAGGGCAAGGCGTTGCGCAACCATGTCTGCCCTTTCAGTGTTTAGCCGCTTTGCAGTTACTAGCCTTCGTTTATCATTCATAGAAATCTGCATCAAAGTTGTACCTTGGCTTCACAGCAGCATCTATAGCTTCAGCGACCTAAGCCTTGGACAATCGTTACCATTGAAATCGATTCAATGCTTTATGTCGTGACCTGATACTTTTTACTCCTGTCATCTTGTACATGAAGTCCGATGCAACTGAGGTAGGTGCCACTTATCCTTACAGAGCGACTTAAACGGTTGGATTGACGGTGAACTCCCTAAGTCGCGAGAAAAAGATCTTGAAAACCTTGTCGAACGTTTGAATGCCCTACGACTTCTCGTCTGAACCATCTCTCCTAAAAAGACTCAAAGATTCCATCTCTGAGCATGACAATGTGGGACGATTTCCTGGTTACAACCCTGGTAGCGATGACAATGATGCGAGCTCTACATGCTCGAATAGTAGTTTCTTTGATTCAAAGGTCGGAACGTGCTGCCAAACGACAGAATGTACACCGAGCTGATAAATGCTGGCGATCGTCAATACAGACGTACAAGACACCATTAGAAAGCAAGATTGCGAATCAAGCGAAATGGTGATTATTATCACTTGCAATCCTGGTCGGGTCGGGGTAACGCCCTCCCGGAAGGCCTGAGCTAGCTTAATGCTAGTTGGGCCTTGGACGGATGCTTCGCGGTATCCGTCAGTTTAGGACGGGCCTCTCTCCCTCTACACACCTCTCTCATGCCGCTCTCACCCCCATCCGCCAGTCAAGACGCCACGATGTACGCCGCCACGATGTACGCCGCCACGATGTACGCCGCCACGATGTACGCCGCCACGCCCGAATTCCGACATCTCCGCTTAGGTACGCTCGCATATCCTTTGTTCCACGGTGCAAACAACAAAAGACCCTCCCTGGGTAGGACCTGTTGACAAGATAGACATCCAAGGATCCAAGCAAGAAACCTACCGCTGGACACCGCTGTCGACTGGCCCCAGACCTGCACCTCTTTTGGTGGTGTGCAAAATGTCGTGCAGCCTGGACGGCCTTCAGCGCGGCGCATATAGCGCGCGCCGCTTAATGGACCCTGGCGAGAGTAGAGAGAAATGTAAAGAAGAGAGATAACCCGACGCATGCGGAAGTTGGGCCACTTTGGTGCGCAAGACGGCTCGCGTAACGCGTTAACATACATACATACATACATACCACTTGCAACAGATTAGCAAACAGCAACCAGCCCTTTGCTTGTCTCGCTGAACAACAGCAAAGGGTTATAAAATCCGAGATATCCGCACAAGTTTATCGAGGAAGAAGTCAAAAGGAGCGGCAGCTCATAATCCCACTCATCACTTATATACCAGCTCCTGGGTCTGGAGTTGTGCAGTACTTTAGATGCAGCTGGTTCCCTGCATCCACGTAGGCTCATTTTACCTCATCAAATGTAGCACCTCTCCAATTTATTAGCAAATACCATTTTGTGCTTGCTTTTACCGCTAACAGCCCCACTTTTCACATGTAAAAACGTCTGTCCGTCATCTACAATTGTCACTAATTCCGTAAATTGCCATCTCATGTCTCACTGCTACTTTCATGACACTCGTAAGAGGAGGCAATGCAAAATATGTACGATACACCACATAAAAGTAGAAAACACCAGCAACAATAAAGGGTCAAAAGTGTCTAAGCTTTGCATTAAATGAGCCTGATTTTGTCTTTCTTGGCGTAACTTTTCCTGTATAAATCTCACTCATCGTCGACGACTCCGTCCGTCACCGACACTGTAAGGTCTCTTCAGGTGTCGTAATCTGTCCAAAGCGGACGTACATCCACTACACAAGCGTCTAACCTCTCCTTTCGATGCTATAAGAAGGCAAGAGCTTCCTTAAGCCGTGGTGTCAGCACTGCATCGACAGTATTTAGACGTCGGAATGCAGTTTCTTCGCCTGAACTTGCTCCTGCGCGTCGTGCCACTTGTAGAATCGGCTAATGCGGTCCATCTCGCTATCTCTGTATTTGTTCCAGACGAGGCCACAGCCGAGGCCAAGCGCTGTGGCAATGAAAATGTCCTTTAAGGGCGAAATCATAGTAAAAGTAGGTACGAAACTTGTTGCGAACTGAGTAACGAGAGGTGTGGGGCTATTGTGGACCGTCAGAAAAGCGGTTGGATGGCACCACACCAATTGGCACCGACACGAAGAGAAAATATAACGAAACCTAAAGACGACACCCCATCGTTTCAAACGCAGAAGATTTGCGAACTCCTTACTGGTAGATAATAAATATTCTTAGATTTTTGCAATAAAAGCTCTTCCACATGTCACAGCAGGATCTATCACTCCAACAATAATGAGCAAAATAAGCATCAGAAGGAGAGTGTACAGACCAAAAGAACTCGCAAGACGCGTCAACAACTGTAAAAGATACAAAGAAGTAGTCTGCAACCGAGAAAAGGAGGAGGCTCAGTGATGGTGGCTCTAACGTCTGCATTTTCCTTGCAATGGTGCTACCACAAGCTTTAATGGATCGGTTTACTTGTGTGTTGCACTTCTCTGTCGCGTAAGGCAATTGTTTCCTATGTAGAGGGTCGAGAGGAGATACAAATGATGTGGTTATAGCTGGTGTTGGCGTTGATGCTGACGGTTGCAGCAGCTGGTGCAAGAAGCTAAAGCTCGCGATTTGTGCCTTACTCGCAGTGTATGATTTGTGTTGTGGTTCATCAGTACCAGCGAGTAGAAGAAAGGCTTACAAGTTATAGCTGTGGTGGTGTATTTGTTGGTATAAGGCTATGCCGTGGGTTTGAATGCCGTCAAATCGAGTGGATATCTACGCGAACAATGCGCTGGTGCAAGAAACAGCTTGACAAGAATTTTGTCTGATGCTCAAGTCCATTTTGGCAAGAATTAATTTTGCTATTAATATTTTAATGACTGGTATTGTAATTGATATTTAAAATAAACTCTAACAGGTTTGGCTACAATGTCGTCCTATTGTACCCATATATCGCACTTAACACAAACTCCGCTGCACCAACCACCTTTTCCCATCACTATCTCTTGACATGGTGCGTCGAACTTCAGCGCGCAAGGGTAGGAAAACTGCTACTAATACCAGCAACGTCAAGTCCAATGCTACCTCTAAAAATATCAAACGTCGAAGTAAAGGCATTAGTATCCAGTCTAATGACGTATTTAGTGACGATGAAGAAAAAGCCGCGCATCAGGAACGCACGATGAACGCACGGGCCGACGTGAATGAAGTTTTCGAGTACGAAGAGCCGACATTTGACCAGGAAGATTCCGAAGTGGATGAAGATGAAGCGTTTAATAGTGAAGATGAGGCAGCCTATGGACTATTTTTTAATGGGACAAAGGGCAAAGAAGAAGAAGGAGGAGGAGGAGAAGAAGAAGAAGAAGGAGGAGATTTACTTTCGGACCTTTTAGGTACTGCACCTGCTGCTAGACTTGTTAGTATCAGTGAAGAAGAAAAAGAAGGAGAAGAAGAAAAGATTAAGAATTTGAGCAAGATGGTGGACAGTTTGGTCGAGCACAAGAGCACCAAGAAGCTCATTGAGATCGACTCGCAGTTTGCCAATGAAGCTGTAGACGGAGAGCTGACACTCGGCAATCTTTTGGGTGCACAGATGGTGAAACCTGGAGCGGAGACTGCTGAGGAGGATAACAAGGAGGCTCAGGAGAAGACCAAGCTAGGACTAGACTTGAGACGCATGAGACAGCAGATTAGGGAACTTGAAGGAGATGGCATGACGCTTACACTCGAGGCCAATCGGGAAGCGGTGCATGATGCACGTGCGCAACGTAAATTGGCCTATATGGAAAAGACTAAGAGCGTGGATCTTTTTGAGCCGGTGGTGCGTCGCAACAGACAGAAGGAGACGCTGGATTTGCGTGTTCAGGCCCCAAAACTTGAGAAGTTGACACCTGCAGCGTTGGCGAGCAAGTTTGTTGCACAGACAGACATGGAAAAGAGCGTCGCGGCTTTGTTGGAGGCTGGCGACTTGAGTGACAAGAAGCAAGCAAAAGGTGAGGAGGAAGAGCTTGCGCGTAAGCACGTGTCGACGGAGGAAGTGGCTGCGCGGCAGAAAGAGCTTGCGAAACTGAGGTCGCTGCTATTTTATGAGGAACAAAAGAAGAAGCGTGTTAAAAAGATAAAGAGCAAGTTGTACCACAAGATTCGTAATGCGCAGGACAAGAAGACCGTGGCAAGACAAAAGGAAGAGCTGCGTGCTTTGGACCCGGAGTTAGCTCGTAAGCTTGACGAGGAGCTGGCGGAGAAGCGAGCGGAGGAACGATTAACTCTCAAGCATCGCAACACAAGCAAGTGGGTGAAGCACCAGCTTCGCCGTGGTACTCAAGCTGACGATGCGACGCGTAGTGCCATTGCCGACCAGTTGCGTCGTGGTGAGGAATTGCGCCGCAAGATCAATACGGTGTACAGTGACGAGGATGATATGGATGATGATGAAGACAATTGTGAAGAGGATGGTGTTTCGCGTCTACAGAAGCGTTTAGAAAGGCAAGCGAATGCTTTGGTCTCGGAAATTGACGCAGATTCTGAGGAGGCTGGCAATAAACGAGGTCTACAAGGAATGAAGTTCATGCAGCGCGCAGCCGAAAAGCAGCGTGAGGAGGCGCGTGCTGAGGCTGAGAAGCTTCTTCGTGAGATTCGCACTGGCGACGGTGCCGATGGCGATCGTATTCTTTCAGATGGTGAGGACTATCTTAGCTCCGGCGACGAAGGTTTTGCTGCGAAGAAGAACAAACGTGTCAAGAAGCTGAAGAAGAAGGTGGTGGTGACAGAAGCGGACAAGGTAGCCGTTGACCTTGCACTGGCTGGAAGTGCACTCCAAACGACCAACGTAAGCATGAGTGGCGGCATGTCGACCCATACCTCAGGCGTGGTTGCGGTTGACCTTGGCGAAGGTGGTAGCAGTGTCGCGCTTTCGAACGGAGACAAGAAGCAGAGCAAGGAGTTGGAGCTTGGTGTCAAGACCCTTGATCAGAAAGCTATCAATGCTGCTTCTGAGTCCCAGTCAAAGGTTGAGTCAGCAGAAGACGCTGACATGGAGCCGGCTGCAGAGGGTGAAGAGAACCCGTGGCTGTCGACTGATACGAAGAGCAAGTCTCGTAGCAAGAAGAATAGGAAGAAATTGCAACAGAAGAAAGAAGGTGCGCAACCGGACGTGGCGGCAGCTATCGCGTCTCTTGATCAAGACACGAAGAAGACAAGTAACGAGGATTCCTCTTTTGCCACACTTACTAACGACACCGCAAAGGTGTCGAAGAATGGCAAGAAGCGAAAGTTGGATCAGGTCAGTAATGAAGTTGCCAGGGAGCCCGAGCACACAGTGTCTGGCAACAACAAGAAGAAGAAAAACAAGACGACACCGAAAAGTGTGCAACATGCTGGTCAGGATGAACTTGTGCGTCGTGCATTCGAATTTGTCGCCGATGAAGAGGACGTGCTTGCTCAGGAGAAAGATCGATTGGCTGGCCGGGATGCTGACGCGAAGAAGGGTATCGAGATTGCTAAGCTCGTGGGTATGTCTGGATGGGGTAGCTGGGCAGGCGATGGCGTGCGAGTGTCGAAGCATCAAGTTGCGCGTGAGCAGAAAGCAAAGAATATTGCGCGTGAGGCCAAGCAAAAGGCTCTGGCTGGCCGCAAGGATGCTCGTCTTGACAAGGTTTTGATTAATGAGAAGAAGGATAAGAAGGCTGCCAAGTTTAAAGTCAAGGATGTACCGTACCCATTCACATCGCGGGCGGAATACGAGGCTGCAATGCGCAATCCCTTGGGCAGCGACTGGAACACTTCACAGGTGACGAATGTGCTGACGGCTCCCAAGATCATGAAACATGCTGGTACGACGATCGCTCCGCTCGTGCTGACGAAGGAGGACCGGAAGCAGGCAAAGAAGGAATTGAGCTTGAAACGCAAGGCCAAGTTTTGAGATTGTGGAATATAGAAGTGGATGGTGGTACATGTACTTAGTTGCCTGTATTTTATAACCTGACTACAGACCTCGTGTTGCCTAGATAAATGCCGCTGCGAGCGCTAGCGTCATAGCGAATGTCATTGAAGCTGTCGCTACCGTCACGGAGTCTGAAGTTTGTGTACGAAATATCAGCTCGGTAGATGCTACGGTCGGCAGGTCGTCGCTGGCTTGTTCAGAAGCTACGACTCTACCGACGAAGTAATCTTTCGAGGAGTTGGTGGAAACAAACGAAAGCTGCTTTCCATCCATAAAGTCGGCATCATCTTCGTCTAATACAACCGTGTAGTTTTTCATAACGGCGACTTTACTCGAAACGATCGCCTTACGCAAATTTCGCGTAAAGACCGCAAACGTCTCCGACCTGCCGTCAAATGGTTTATTAGCTGCTCTGGCGAGATCCACATCTCGCCGCCACGTCATTACCTCTTTAAACTGCTCTGCCGTCGGAGGTCCAGCACCATTTCTCATCGCCATCGAGTAATGAAGAATTGTCTCGCATGCGGCTCGCATGGCCAATTTTTCCAAAATACACGGAGGCATATTGAGTAGAACGACGGCGGTGACGATACCCATGCAGGCGTTCGAGTTGACAAGTCCCACAATGGTTTTCGAGTCAGGTAATGTGCCTGTGTACGGATAGATCTGGTATCCGCTATCAGAGATGCACTTGTTAAACGTAGCGTCGTTCGCCTTGAAAAACTTTCTCACGATCGCCACCATATCGTTGTTACAGTCGTAGCTGTCCACTAACGCAAAAGACTCGGAACCCACCTCCGGCTTGTTAATAGTTGCCAGTTCTTGCAAAGTTCTTGTTATTCCATTTGTCTTCTTATCCAAACTCAAACGATCTTTTGTAGTAGAGGAGACCTTGCGATTCCAATCCGCGTTAGTGGAAGATGAAAATGTCCCTATTATCATCACGATTAACACTAGCATAAGAGCTGAGAGACGCATTCGGGATAATGAAAGTTGGTAAGTAGCGACAATAGGCAAAAAGCATGTCTCGGATCGGAGGAGACGGTCCATTTAACACTGCAGATGTTTTGGTACCTCTTTTTTGCTCCACTTGAGTTCAGAAAGTCGGACTTCTACGGGTAGAGAAGCTTCACTTCAATTTTTTTGTGGTACAACACAAAGGGGACTCGTATAATTTAGAACTTTTACTGCTACATAAGCGTTACAATTTAAATATCTTAATTCTAAATTACTACTACATGATGCGTGATCAGACTGTCTATTTTAATCCTTATGATTGTATAAGATATGTCTAATTGAAAAAAATGGTCTGATCTGCTACTATGACTTATGCCGTTTTCCTCTGCACTCACTCATTCTGCTCGCTCCAATCGACGGGCTTCAGGGGGGGGACACTCCAAAGGGCACGTGGGACCGTGGGACAATTTGACCAGACACGAGCACATGCAGAGGGCAGGTGATGCCTTGAAGGTAAGACCGGGTACCAAACTGGCTGTCTCAGACGAGGCAGGCCAGTCTAACTAATCCCCGATTCCGTCCGAAAATGGAACGGACGGAATCACGTTCTTGGAAAATTTGCTTTGTGGGACCGGAAGTCGCGCGCGGCCAACGATTTTTAGCCATGACCAGATCATGTATCCAACATTTTTTCCAGATCGCACTAATTCCTTCGTTCATAATTATCAAGTACATTCAGTACCAGTTTGGTGGACAGTGAACGAAGGATGTCCATAAAGACACTCGCGGCGTCCCCGCGTCATCGCCCAAGTCAGTTTGACGGACCTCGGAAGCGGTTATAAAGGGGCTACACTCCACGATACGCGCCATCGTTCTGACGACCGCGCAATTTAGATCAGCGGGCCCTCGAGCGGCCTATAAGGCCACAAACAACGGTACACGTTTGCTGCTATGCTGCCTCACCATAGTCGGACAATCCCGATGTGGACCTCGAAACTTGACCTTAAAATGCCCCTCTTGTCGCAATTACAATTGAATTTTCCGTCGCGCTGCTTCTAGATCTCGAAGCTTGTCACCCGCTCCCAGTATCGTTTGAAGAGTGTAGTGTGACATTCGCTTTTGCAAGTGATGACTTAGAGAGTTGGACTAGATGGTAGTGATTGAGGTGATACCATACCACGCTTCATAAGCTCCCAGTGCGACGGTCGCGGATCAAAGCGAACCACCACGGTAAAGGCATTTGTTGACACTTCATGGTGCATGAGCAACCGCATGTACTTGAGCATGCGTGCGGGGACCACCGACAGGCCTTCAGCATAAGACAAGACGTACACACCACTAGACTGCCCCTCGTCCAGAACAAACACCGACGAAGAGTTACATGATGATAAAGGCGCAGGAGTCTCGCGACGGGATGACGACGTCAACTCGGACAAATCCTGGTTTATCATCTCGCTTTCATGACTGCTGGTAGCTGCTCCATCATCTGAGCTGGTCTTGACACTTGGAGGTGCGTAAGGTGTAGTGATAGGCGTCTGGGACCCACCACCCCAAACACCTATCCGTTGCAATGTTTTGCGCAAGATGAGATCAGCATCGCCAACCTTATCGAGTCTACGCCACACAAGTGTCACAGCCGGAGGAGGCAGCACCTGCGGGATCTTTCTCAGTACGCGGTCTCGAACCTTGGACGCTGCATCCACTGATTATGACAACATTGTGTTGCTGCTACGGCGTTCGGGACAGACATCAGACCGATGCAAGCCCACAGCCCCACATAATCGACACCGATGCTTATCTGACGCATGTGGTCACCATGCATTGCAGTATGTGCAGAAATGTTGCCCCTGCCGCGGATCTGCCGATCGAGAGTTCACTGGCGACAAGCACCTTTGACTACGATGAGCACCATAAGCCTCGTATTTGCGACATTGATGTCGCTCCGTAGCATAATTTCTCTACGAGTTACACAACGTGCAAAATTCTGGTCATGGACCATTGCGTCTGCGCTAACATCCAAGCTTTCGGGTAAGTTCATAACTAAGTTGCAAGTGCTGATACCAATCGTCTCTCGACACGGACAGCTCCGACTACGGTGATATCCTGCCACCCACATAGTCGACACCGATGTTGAGCAGCAGGGGGACTCGGCAGGCCGAGCAGAAGCGACAGAACTCGACAGAACTCGACTTCTCAGTCTCATTGTCTCTTGCCATCCATGTGTTCGACTAAGTTCTTCGTCTCACTTTTGTCAGCACTCTTTTACCCATTCCACCAGTCGTCGAATCCAGCACATCCATAAGCTCCAACACTCGAAACGAGTTCAATTGTCCAGGACTAAACAGCGTCGGAGCCACAGGCTGCAGCTGCAGCTGGTGCACCACCAACCTTTCGACGCCGCTCCTCCTGGTCCACAGATGCCAGAATTTCATATGTGATGGCGTCATTAGCAGCGCAGCGATTTGTTCGTCGGTGGTTCGAGTCAGCATCAACTCATTTACCTTGACGACTCGCAGCAGTTTGACCACGAGAGCAGAGCGGGCGTCGCCAACGTTATGACTCTGCAGCATCATGAGCTGTAAAAGCTGTCGAATACGTCCACCAATGGCATTTTTTTCTGCTTGATCTCCTGCTCTTGATCCTTTTCGATTGCATTAATCTTGTAAAAGAGGTCACAGCTGTCACTGTCATCGTCACGACTCTCGTAGAACTTGTCTGAAGCGTCAAAACAAGGCGAAAAAAGCTCGGAGACCGGTGTGGGATGCTTAGCGAGCATAAGAAGCCCTTTGGAAGCTAAATCCGCCTCACGAACGCGTGCATGAGGTCCCAAGAAGGTGTCATAGCTGATCATCACCTTGGTACTGTCAGCGTGGTTCGACAATAAGTTTTAAGCGATTTCATTGGACAAAATAGAGGATGTACTTGAAAGGTTTTTGTACGTACATAAAAATAATGTACATACAAAAGGTAATTGTACGTACATACATTTAGGTCCGACGCATATAAATCGGAGTGGCAATTAATTAATACAACGTTGGTAAAAAAGAGGAGTTTATGCTCTTGTCCTTATGAGCCGGACATCGGGCGCTGCAAAGTCGCAATTGCTTCCTCTTGACGAGTTTGCTGAAATTTTCGTAACCGACTTGGTCCACGAGTACTCTTACTGCTTGTTTGCATAAGTTCCTGGGTAAATACTACAATCGAAAATTGATAATTGCGACGTCACCGCTGGACACGCACGCGGCGATCTGATCACCCTGCTTGTTCCAATTGACTTCGTAGATATCGCCATTTGCTTGATACGTCTTTACTAAGCACCCACCCTGACAGAACATAGAGCACACACATATCCCGCTTTAGCCAAGACATTTGAGCCTCACACAAAAGCCACATTGACGCACCTTTAATGACCAGACATTGAGCATTCCTCCTACTGTTCCACTAGCCAGATGCTCCCCATCCGGACTAAACGCAACACCATACACAGGATACCTGCAATAGCCATGTTAGTACATGAGGTGAAAAACAACATTTAGTTGCAAACTGTACACCACGTACTGATGATCAAATGTTCTCCTACAACAACCCGACTCGACGTCCCAAAGTTTCACGGTGCCATCAAAAGACGCACTGGCTAATATCAAAGGCTGGTCAGGCAGAGCTGTACCTGGACCTGTGCAGCTCCAGCGAAATGTGTACACTTCCTTTTTGTGCTCTTGCAAAGTATACACCAGCGCTGCTGAGCTTGCTGCATCCAATTCCACCTCCTTGTTGTTTTCAATATCCATGCCATCACCTTCCACTACATTCATCTTGTCAATAGCAATCGACGGTTCCCAAATTTTCACCGTGTAGTCATCTGAACATGACGCCAAATATCGCCCAGACGGGTCCCACTTGACAGAATTAATCGCATCCTTGTGTCCACGCAACACTACATCAGCCTTCGTTTCCCCCACGCGCGCAACACAAATACTCATGTCCGACGAGCATGTTGCAAAAGTAGAGTCATCCTTCCACGATGCATCCAGTATTGGGTCATCGTGAAGCTTCAGCTGTTGCCTTTTTGTTTCCGTAGTAGCATCCCATACCACGACAGTCTTGTCAAAACTAGCGCTGAGCAAAAACAAACTTGTCTTACTCCATCGTGTAGCAAACACCGGTCCGTTGTGGTACTGAAAAATATGTTTCATCTCTCCTTCCGCATTCCAGATCCTTGTCTTGCCGTTGTAGGTTCCAGACGCCAAAGAAGATCCGTCGTGCTACAATAACCATCATCAGTTAAGAGAATCCGTCATGTAATCATCCTACACCTAAGAAAAAGGAAATGGAGCACGTACATTCCACTCGAGAGTTGTGACGTCCTTGTGTGGTCCTGTACCATGATTTAGCACCATAGACACCGCCTCTTTTCTATCTTTCACTATATTCGGCAAAGTCCAGACTCTAGCCGTCGAGTCACTTGATCCCGACACCAAAATGTTTTTCATCGGGTTCCACGAGCACGCATATACTTCTTTCTCATGTCCACTAAGCAGCACGAGTGCTTCCTTGTCCAATTTGTCGACACCATTCATCTCTACAACAAAAAAAAGATAAAACAGTCAATAAAAAAACCCTTCACAGCCCCATTTCTTCTTCCTCTTTTTTCCATAAATCTCGCGTCTGTACCTTTTGAACCATCCACAGTATCCGGTGAGCCTTCTCCTTTCCTCTTTCTCTTATTTGAAGCTTTTAATGATCTCGCACTACTCGAAGCAGACTGTGCCACGCGGCAAACATGTGCACTCAACAATGAATAGTCGCCATCACACTCTCGTTCTGTCCCGTCCTGCACGTATTTCCAGCCAATATAAAATTCCACCAGTTAGTCCATAATTTCTCTCTCTTTCTTTTTCTTCTTCTTCTTCTTCTCTTTAGTATACAATCAAACCTCGTTAATATGAGCTTCAATACCGACATATTGCAGTCCCTTTTGTAGAAATGACACGAGTGCACCAGGCGGTAATTCCGTGTTAATTACACTAGATTTTGCTAGTTGACTTTCATAGGCGAATGTAAATGCCGAATGTAAAAAACCCGATTCCTGGAGGTATCGATAGATGAGGTAGTTTACTTCATCCGATGTGATCGCCATTGTCAAGCGTTTTCGAGCCAATGAACAACGTTAAACGCAACGCAAAGAGCAAGTAAAGTATCAGACGTCTGTGTAGATGATGTGGTTGTAATGACAGCGAGTAAGAATCGGCCCCCGAGCGAGAATCGGCTGAAGCGAGGCTGGACGTCTCGCGCCTTTGGCTATCGCTAATAATTCGTCATAACCACCGAGGACTACTCCCCTCGAATAAAGCCATTTCATTGGATAGAATTCATTATTTATGATTATAAAAGACGTAAGGGAAATAACAGTATATTAGCCAATCAAAAGGCCTCAAGCTATTACAAAGAAGATCGCCAGAAGATTCCTGAGCCACATGATCTAGAGCTTCGTGAGCAACGTCTGGGCTTCTTCATGGGCAATTTCATCCTCTTCACTACTAATAGCGATCGCCAGAGCCTTCTGGACCCATTCCTTGGCCTTTCGATAGTCCTTTTTCTTCTGATAGACTTGGGCAATGAGCAAGGAGCGCTTTTTCCAGCTGTCAGGAGCCAATTCTTCCGACTTGTGCAAAAAAGTCAACGCTTCATCGTAGGAAGACGTGGGCGGTGTTCCAAATAAAACAGCAGCAGCCTTGCGCTCGAGCCATGAGAGATCGGCAATGGCGATACACCAACGTCCTAGTAGATAGTACGTCGTCGGGTTATGAGGATTGAGCTCCACGGCCTTTTCCCAATGACTTTTGATGACGGATGAATTGGCAATTGAGACCTTGGAACCTTCATAGTCACCGATAGATGACAGAATGATGCCGTACCTGTACAACAACATAGCAGTGTTTCGTTATAGATAGAACGTAAAGTCCTCAAACTCTCTTCATACCAATTGTGCACAGCTGCCACGTCTTCTGTAAGGTCCAAACCTTTCTGAATAATGTCTTGGGCATAGTACATAAGCTCCTTCTCTTCATCTTCACTCGTGGCTTGTAGATTTGATACGTCGTAAGCAGCACGAGTGAGGCGCCAGATCACACCGATATCGTCTGGTTGAGACGCGTGCATCTCTTGAAGCAAAGCGAGCAACTCGCGACGGTCAAAAGTATTGTCATTGTACAGCTCCTCTGCCTTTACAGCATTGGCGGACTCCATTGGAAGCTTAGAAGTGCAAGATGCAGAGCTTAACGCAAGTGCAGAGAGCGAGAGTAGCGCTAAAGAGAGATTTGATCGGGGGGCAGACTGCCGATGAGCGACACGCTTGTAGTCACGACAGACTCGAAAGTTTTGTCTTTGAAAGAGAGCGGCGAGTTGCTGGCGAGGAAGCACGCGAGCAGATCGAGGTAGAAGGAAGGCGCCTATATTAATTATAACAAGAGCATTAGGAAGAGCGACGAGGGAATAATGGCACAGGCACGTACGAAGGAGCATGAAATTTCCAGAGTGAGAGAATCTCTATGCAAGGATCTTATGAGACGGCGAGAGAAAATCTGACGTGACGTCCTGTATCATAGCTATGAGTACTACAAGTAGACTATTAGCAGCAACAACATTTTACTGTACGACTACTGTCCTTCCCACTCATTTTTTCTTGCCATAACGATCCGCATAGTATTCTTCTTCGGACTTCATCTTGCTCACAAACTTCTTCTCAAAGCTTTCACGGTTGCCGTTAATACGAGTCACAATGTCGTGCACGTCCAGCTTGATGGGGCTCTCAATCAACTTGAGAATGCCAGCCTTGCGCGCGTACTCATAGTGCTCTTCGACCGAGTGCTCGGGCAAGCGGTTTCGGTCGCGGTGTGTGCCATGCACGACGACGGAAATGCTCAATGACGCCACCATTTCGGGCGTAACATGCAACGGTGCGTCAATCAAAACGTCGTCAACGTATTTGCAGCCCAGGACACTAAGTACGCGCTCGTGCAGGTTCATGATCGGGTAGTTGAGGCCACGATGAGCGTTTACTACGCTGTCGTTATGCACACCTACAATCAGATACGAGCCTTGCTCCTTGGCGAGACGTAGAATCGCGACGTGACCAGCGTGGAACATATCAAATGCGCCATCAATGTACACGATCTTGTCCGTCTTCAACGGCTCGTGATTGCCCACCGAAAAGAGACGCAGCATGCGGTTCGTCGTCAAAAACTTAGACTGACGTTCCTTGACCTTCTTGTCCTGCAGCATCCGCGACGACAGCTGGCCATTGACAGCAAAGTGATCGTGTGTGTGATGAGTCTTGTGCATCACAAGCATCCGTCCAAGAATATCACTGGTCGATACACCTTCCGTACGTGGAATCGTTCGGTACTTACCAAGTTTTTGCGCTGACTCGTACACATCTTTGCCATCGACAATACACGGATCATCTCCATGTACGACGTAATCAATACGATGTTTTATAATCATCCGTTGCAAGTAATCTTCATTCATAATGTAAGGACAATGAGGTTCAACCTCATCTACAAACTTGCAGCCTTCAACGGATGCAATACGTTCGTCGTTATTCAGTACAGGAGGGGCACCTTTACAAGCCGTAATCGATTCATCATCATTGACACCCACTACTAAGTACGTTCCAAGGGATCTCGCTTGACGAAATGCATTCATATGTCCATAATGCATCATATCAAAAGCCCCATCCATCCAGATCCGAATCTGTTCCTTTGGCGGCACATCACGCTCCTCTACCTCCATCTGAGCCATTCGATCTTGCAGAACTTGCACTTTCTTGTACGCTTTATCCAATTCCACCTGAAGCACTCGTCTCCTTTGACGATGACGTTTGCCAAAGAGCACAAAATAGGCGAGTAACGTAAAGATGCCAGTCAGTAAAGCAATGGCGAGCCGTTCAGCGTCTGGATATGGCTCGGGAAGCCCCATACGTGCAAATAAATTGTGTGTATACACCATCATTTCATCGGCTGTGGGTGAATGCAACAGCTCGTGTACATACAGCACCGTGCGACTTCCAAATGCCTCGGACATGGCTACAAAAGTAAAATGGGATCAGAAATAAAGGGAGGGGTGACATGAATGTTCGAAATCTATGTCTGGTACATCAAATTCCACAAAAACCACGTAGGACAGACAGTCTACCAATCAGAAATATCGATTCAACCTCTTCTATACAAGAATCTACATGCGGTTAGATTCGAGGGGAAGATATGAATGCATAATTCACATTACGGAGCTAGTGAGGAACTGGTGGAAGCGAGAGCTTGTTCCCAAATGACGACCCATTCATCCGTCCTGCTTATTCTTCAAAACTAAGCGCAAGTCTCCTTTACCGGTTTAAGCGATTGCGTTTTTCTTGCATCATGGGTCTCTCCCAGGAACGTAAACTGGAATACTTTGAAAAGCTCGAGTCGTTGCTTGAGAATTACACCAAAATCTTTCTCGTTGGTGTCGACAATGTCGGGTCAACGCAAATGCAACAAATTCGTCTTGTGCTCCGTGGCCGTGGGGAGGTCCTCATGGGAAAGAACACGCTTATGCGGAAAGTCTTTAACAATTTTGTAAAGAAGAATCCGGGTCACCCTCTTGAGAATTTCATTCCGTTACTGAAGGGAAACGTCGGTTTTGTCTTTACCAATGAAGACCTGTCTGAGATTCGTGAAGTGCTCGAGTCCAACCGTGTCCCTGCTCCTGCTCGTGTCGGATCCATTGCCCCAGTGGATGTCATTGTACCCCCTGGACCTACGGGTGCTGACCCTGGTCAGACCTCGTTCTTCCAGGCTCTGCAGATTGCTACGAAGATTCAAAAGGGTCAGATTGAGATTGTGTCGGAGGTTCTGCTGACCAAAAAGGGCGACAAGGTCGGCAACTCTGAGGCTGCTCTACTGCAGAAGCTTGACATCAAGCCGTTCTCGTACGGTTTGGTCATTGAGCAAGTGTACGACAACGGCTCTATTTTTGACCCTGCTGTACTGGACCTGACCGAGGCGGACCTTTGTGCTAAATTCGTGGCTGGTCTGCGTAACGTGGCTGCCGTTTCGCTGGAACTGGGCATCCCTACGCTTGCCTCCATCCCTCACTCGATTGCCAATGCCTTTAAGGACTTGGTGGCAATTGCTGTCGAATGCGAGGAGTTCTCGTTCGAGAAGGCGGAGCCTTACAAGGCGTTCCTAGCTGATCCGTCTGCTTTCGCCGTAGCTGCTCCTGCTGGTGGTGCCGCTCCTGCTGCTGAGGGCAAGAAGGAAGTGGTCGTTGAAGAGGAAGAGGAAGTCGACATGGGTGGCGGCATGGACATGTTTGGTGGTGACGAAGACTACTAAGTTTTCGTGTCTCTGAGGAGAATAAGTCGTAGCACGTAGAGACACTTTGTGACTTTATGATGCTTTGTTATTCAATGCAAAGACTTGAAGCTGCTTAACGTTGCAAACTAATTGAAACCCAATTGAAGTTTATGCTATTGACCTCATGACTTCTCTTATAATTGATCATCTTTGTTAGTGATGCGTATGTCCATTTATCTTAATCTCTTACGATTCGCACCTTGGCGCATTTAAAATCTCTCCAAAATTCAAATTTGAATATTCGCTCAAAAACCATTCGAATCTCACCACGAAGAGCTCATCTTCGAGATGAACGTGCTCGTACGTCTACGATTCTTTCAAAATTGTATTTGTATCTCTTCATATTCAATAACTTTTGTCATGCTCTTTTTTATCTGTAGGTAAATGAAACGTCTGTCGGTAATCGACGATGTGGTTGTGATTGCAAGAAGTCCAGCTGTCTCAAGCTCTACTGTAAATGTTTCACCGCCAATGATCGCTGTAGTAAGCGATGCCAGTGCAAAGACTGCAAGAATCAGGATCATAATCAACAGGAGATCAGTCAGGACATTCAAGCTATTGAGAAGTGTACACAAAAGACCTTTTGCCCTTCATTGCAAGCCCCCAGAGCTTCAGAGTCCGAACCAGTAGCAGAACCATCGCAGCAAACGCCTCCAAGCTCGACGACCAGCATTGTGACACCTGTGACGTTCTCTACAAATGTTAAATCTAGTATGGCAATGACAACGACGTCACCCAAGCCAGTATGTGCCTGTGTTGACGGCAATTGCATCGCTGACTGTCCGTGCTTGAGCTTGTTTGGGGCCTGCTCGCCTCGCTGCCAATGCAATGGTTGTCTAGTGGTGCAGATACAGCCAGAGAGGACAAAAGGATGCAGCTGCAAGAAGTCAAATTGTCTTAAACTTTATTGCGAGTGTTTAGCGGCACAACGAATGTGTGACCATCGCTGCAATTGTAAAGGATGCAAGAACCGACCTGAGACGCTACCGGAACGAAACCACGCAATTGCTGTTATTCTAGAGAGGAATCCTTTGGCTTTTGAGCCCAAGATTGCAAGTGGATCGAGCCAACACTTGCGAGGATGTCATTGCCGAAAGAGTGGATGCATGAAAAATTATTGCGAGTGTCATCAAGCTGGAGTGGCGTGCACCTCCCGCTGTGCTTGTCATCAGTGCCGCAACACGGAGACATTTGTATCGGCAAAAAAGATGCTAGTGTTTGCTGGAGTCAGTACAGATGATAGCAGTCTACGTGCCACCTTGAATCGCTCGTTGCAACGCAAGATTATGAAGCGGCCTTCTCGTGGAGCTAAAAATGCGAACCCGCAAGACAAATTGCAAACACCGACCAACGCCTCGACACAGAAACCTACGGCATTAGAGTTGTTGTCAAGAAGTGCCCCGGTAGCACCTTCTAAATCAAGCCGACAAAGGAATACGGCAATCGATGATAATTCTCCAACGACGCCAAGTAAACGACCATCCAACTACCCGGATCGCTTTCACACAGACGGCGAGTGTGTTGTCAAACCTGCATTTGCCAAGAGAAAGTATACAAGACGCAATCGGCATAAAACTTCTTTCATGGAACGAATTCAAGAAGCTGCAGCACTTGTAAAAGAATTACCCAATGTAGAGGACACTGTGACCAACGCATATGATACAAAAAACACTGATGGTGTCGGCGATGCTGAGCTTACTATTCTAAGTCGGTCGCTACTACACGCAGCAGTAGCTGTACAGCTTGCTAACGAGGAGAAAAAAGCTTCAGCTGCTCCGCTTCGTCAATTGCCAGTCGGACAGCAAGTGCAACGTGTTTTTGAAGCGGAACGCCAGCGTATTTCTGATCTCACCGATGGCCGTGAAGCACTGTCACCTATTGCTGCCGGTTTGTTCTGCGAGGAAGAATACAGTGAAGCTGACGATAACAACTACCTTGACGTAGCGACGTCGGCGATAAACGAAAATGACACAGCATCTGGGTCGACGACGGTCGAACAATCCAATATGCGAAGCCAACAGAACGGAAAAAATGCCAGTCTTAGTGTCATGCAAGAGCGCGCTGTACTCCAAGAGCTTAGCGTATGGCTTCGAAATATGACAGCAGACGTATCTTCACGCTGATGTATTGACTGACCAAATAACTTTGGGTTGGACATGTCAAGGCCTGTACATCTCTATGGTATACGGGGCAACACAAGTACAGCAAAAGCACTTCACGAAAGCAAAGTTCTATTACCGAAAATGGTAGGCGATAAGATTGCTTATCTGACCTGCAAAGCTGCTACCATCTTTGACATCGTTCACAATGTGGAGTCGTTGATGCCCTCACACTTGTAAATGTGCTTGATAGCATCGTAGACGTCGTCAACGACGACGTCAGCTTCATGTTCGGGGTCCGACGAGCCATCATAAATACCCGTTCGAACGAGTACGGAAGTCCATTCATCACCAGCATTGTTTGCACCCTGAATGTCGGCCTGAGGGTTGTCACCGATACCATACAAGTGTTTCAGCGGTTTGCCTTGTCCCGAGACAGTATTTAAAAGACTTTGCGCGTATCTATAAATTGACACGGGTGATCAAAGATGTAAGCATGACATATATATTCACGTATAGCACCGGTAAATGTAAAATGGTACGTACTTATACGTGACCTTATAGGGTTTGCCATAGTTTGTCACATCCAACTTGCGCCCGGTAAGGCCTTCATACAGCAGTTTCAAACATCTCGTGAAAGCACCTGTTCAATGGAGAAAAAAGTTTCTCTTACGATGATACAGCTTTCAAACCGAAGCAATTATATAGACAATGACATACCTTGAGCAAACCGGGGAGCTGGATATGCCCCGCTAAAGACAAAGTCATCGTTACTTAGGAACAACGGTATCTGTTTACCAGACGGGCGTCCACTTCCAGGCGGGTCACCACCAACAAGTACATCCACTGCAACTTGAATTTCTGGTGCCCAATTGATCGGATCGTGCATCACAATGATAGCTTCAATGGGCTCATCGTGGTGCGGTGCCGGTCTACTAAAACAACAACAGACATGTCCATCATTGTATGAAAAATAACCACGTTCCAAAGACCAATACTATAAAGTCTGTACCTTTGATCGTAATGGATGAATGGATACTGCGTCGGATAATGGTGCAGTAAGTCTTCCACCCTCACAACCTTTTTGAAACCATAGCATTCAGCCTGCAAGAGTACAAAATTGTCTCATTAATAATGATCCAAGACCCGATCGATTATGCAACGTACGACACGCCAGACATCATGGGAGCCCATGACAAGCACTCGTTTGTCTATCGTCACAGACGACAAAACCCCATCAGTAATCCATCTTTACATGATATCACTGTATTGTCACATACGTGCATAAATCTTGGCGAGCTCACGCATTGGCGTATGCGAGAGGATCATGTGATCCGAATGAATTGGCCAGTCAAGAATCCGACTGAGGTTCTTGGCTTTGTCCTCTTCCATGCAACCGCCACCATTGGTCAAAAAGATATGAGGAACTTTATTCTTCTGCAGTGATCGCAGTACTTGCTTTGCCTTTGGAAGTGCATGGTCACCACTATCACAATCCCAAATTCAAACGATATTTTATAAAATGGTGTCCATGTAAATCATCATTTCGTAGCTCTTTCTGACCGTATGAAGACGCCGTCAATATCAAACGCAATACCAAACGATGGAGAACACAAGGAAGCAGTTGATCTTGCTGAAACAATCGAGAAAGCACGACTAGAACGTCTTGAAATGGATCGTAACATCAACGACCACGTCATTCTTCTACGCGGGGGTCCAGGTGGTGATTATTCATGTGCACCACATCATGTACTATCTGACACTATATCGAGGTCGTCCTAGTGACATGTATCAAACCTCTCCAATCTATACCCCACCCACAATGGAACTAATTATTGGATGTGTGGGTAAGCCTAGTGCTGGCAAATCGACCTTTTTTAACGCTGTGACGGATGGTAAAGCAAAAGTAGGCAATTTTCCATTTACAACCATTGAACCAAATGAAGGCATTACGTATTATATGACACAATGTCCATGTCTTGAGAAAGACAAAATGTCGGTCTGTACACCTCGTTATGGGCAATGTAAGCAGGGAATACGGTATATTCCTGTAAAACTTTTGGATGTTGCAGGTCTTATACCTGGAGCGTCAGAGGGTGCAGGTCTTGGTAATAAATTTCTGGACGATTTACGTCATGCTCAAGTGCTTCTGCACATTATTGACGTCTCTGGTCATACCAATGAGAAGGGTGAGGAAACGGTGGGGTACGATCCTATTAATGATGCGGATTGGCTTGAGACGGAGATCCATCAGTGGGTATTTATGAATCTCTGGAAACGCTGGACTTCTATTGCTAGAAGACATAAAGCGACGAAAAGCAGTCTACAAACTACTTTTGTTGGGCAATTATCAGGTTATGGTGCGACGCCGACGTTGGTGAGCAAAATGCTGGATCGACTGAGTTTGAAAGAACCATTGGACCTCTCTATGTGGACAGAGGATGATGTACATAATGTAGTCACAGTGTTTTTGGATGTTCGTTTTCCGACAGTCTTGGTGCTTAATAAAGCTGATCAGGGTGATGATACAGATCGTAATATTGAAAAAATTGTCGAGAAATACGGAAGTGATCGCTGCTTTGTGGCGAGTGCAGCTGCAGAATGTTCGTTGCGAGCAGTCAGCAAGCAGCGCTTCATTCGCTATGAACCTGGCTCGATGTTTTTCTCAACACTAGAGGATGACGACGAAATGCAAGCTAAGGCTGATGCAGACAAAGGTTTAGGCCCTTTGAAACCGATTGAGAAAAAAGTAAAGAATCGTTTGGAACGCATTTCCGATATGGTGCTCTTTCGTTATGGTAGCACCGGAGTTCGAGCTGCAATTAATGCGGCTGTCGAGTTGGCCGACGTGGTCGTTGTTTACCCGGTGAAATCGTTGAAAAGCTTTGCCATTAACACAACACCTGGAGCTATAAACAAGGGCATATTTGCTGATGCTGTAATTGTAAAGCGCGGAACGACGATCAAAGAATTGGCTTTCCGTGTGTCCCAATTCCTGGGAACCAACCTTGCTTATGCAGAGGGCGAAGATGGCCGAAGGCTTGCTGAAGACGAACCCATCACAAACAACAGTATCATTATCAAGTTCACAACAACCATCGCTTCGTCGACCATAGCGGCTTCGGATGCTTTTGGAATAGATAAAGACAGCAAGAAAGGTGGAAAGAAAGGAGGAAAAGCGGGAGTGGCAGCCAGCGTTGGAAGCGAAGATAGCTACGAATAGAAAAGCACAGAAACAATTAAAGCAATGTGCACGTGTTATGCCTAACCTTCAGAATGGTTGATGCAAAGAATGATGTAAACACTTTCAGGTCTCTTAGAAACAAGAGAAAAATGCGCTAGCGCGGATCATCTGATCACTAAGCACTGCACGTGACCGCAGCCCGGGGAAGCGTTTGCGAAGGAACACCAATAGTCTGCGCCACAAGGCCAAAACTGCCAGAGATGAATAGGCGGCCGAGAGCCATGGAAACGGAGTCGAGCTCCTCGGAGCTCATGATGGCGCTAGCTAGCTCAGCTTCCGGCGAAAAGACGTACACGCCCTTGTAACAGACAACGTATACGAAGCCGTTATCGTCCACCTTAATGCCCGTAGCATAGCCAGCCTCCGTTTCCAACTCAGGGTGAGCCGTGAAGTTAAAGAAAATACTCGACTTGCTGACTGTGCCGTCGTCCGCCATGTTGTAACTCTTTACGTATGAGTTATTCTTCTGCGAGTTGGTGATGTACATGATATCCTGGGCCGGCGAGAATGCAATCTTGTTAGGACGCGTCATGTCACAGTCCACAAGTTCCACAGATTGGTTGGTACCATTGCGCAGCATGTAAACGCCATTGAACGGAATCTCGCGGAGCGGAGATTTGTCGAGAGTGTCACCATCAAAGTCGGCGTCGCTGGTAGCCAGGCCGAAGGGGCTATCTGTGAAGTACAGAATGCCGTTGCTCGCGTACTCAGCGTACGACGGACTGTTAAACTTCTTGCCACGATACATCGTGATAGCATCCACAATTTGACCCTGGCAACTATTGCCGACCGACTTGTAGTTCAGCACACCAAGGGTACGGCCAGCGTTACGAGCAATCACGATACGATCACTTGTGGGAGAAACGGTGATACCACTGCATCCTTTGTAGTACACATTGTCGCAGCCCTCGGGGTGGTTCTGATATGAGCAACCACTCTGGAAAGCGGACACAGTCAGGGTCGTGGTAGCAGAGCAGACACCATTCACATCCACATCAATTTCCGTCGTGGAACTGGACGTGTTGGTGACTGTGGCATCCGGCACGTCCTGTGCGCTCCATTTCCAGATGGCATTGCCCGCCACATCACAGAACAGCAAATCGATGTTCGACGAGTGTGAGGTGCCGTCGGTGAGGTAACGACGGCTCGGACTCGTGTAGCCCTGGATAGTCGTTGGCGCCGTGTAACGATTTACGGCTAAGGAGCTAGACGAGCTGCTACCAGAAGACGACTGCACGACCGTCTGTATCGTACCTACCTGTGACGACAGCGAGCCTACGATAGTCGACAGCTTCGAATTATACGTCGCCGACCAGAACGAGGTTCCCGATGCACTCCTTGTCGGCGTAGACGTTGACGTCGCCGCCAAAGTCCCACTGACAGTTATACTTCTTCTGCTAGTGGATATGCCACCACCTTCCGCCGGCGTGCCACCACCTTGAGCCGATGTGCCACCACCTTGAGCGGACGTGCCACCACCTTGAGCCGGCGTGCCAGCACCTTGAGCCGATGTCCACCACCTTGAGCGGACGTGCCACCACCTTGAGCCGCGTGCCAGCACCTTGAGCCGCGTGCCAGCACCTTGAGCCGGCGTGCCACCACCTTGAGCCGACGTGCCACCACCTCCAGCCGGCATGCCACCACCTTTAACCGACGTACCACCATTTTTAGCCGACGAGCCGCCACCTTCAGCCGACGTCCCACCACCTTCAGCCAGTGTGCCACCACCTTTACCTGACGCACCACCACCTTCAGCCGACGGGCCACCACCTTTAACCGACGTGCCACCACCTTTAACCGACGTGCCACCACCTTCAGCCGACGTGCCACCATCTTTAACCGACGTGCCACCACCTTTAACCGACGTGCCACCACCTTCAGCCGGCGTGCCACCACCATTTGTAGAAATGCGGTCACCATTCATAAACATACTGCCACGACCGGACGTGTCACCAGACGCTCTATCGTTGGCCGACATGCCATCGCTCGTAAGTGTTCCTCCACTTAGAGTCGTTCCTCCGTTCGCAGATGTTCCTCTGTTCGGAGAAACCCCACTATAAGGAGTTTTGCTGTTACTGATCTGAGAGTTTGAGTTTCCCGACGGCGTCAAACCGTCACCTTTGTTCATCTGACCATCTGATTCATCGCCATTTTTCAGTCCGTTAGCCCCGAGTCTCGAGGTCTTGAGCAATTTATCTGCCTTGTTTTTAATTTTAGGAAACACGTTCTTCTCAAAGTACGTGAGCTGCAGGGACTCTGTCGTGGCCCAAGCCGCCACCTGCGTCGGATACAGCTCCTTATATAGCTTATAAAGCGGCACAACCTCCTTCGACGTGTCTTCAGTGGTCGTTAAATACCGCGCCGCGTGGTCCTCAAAAAGGTCGATACTCAGCAGTCGGCGCCCGTTCTGTAGCTGCGAGGAAGCCAGAAGAATCTGCTTGAGTTCCATTAACGAGTGAGACGCCATGACGTCCTCAAGAGCCTGTACCGAAGCCAGAGCTGCCGCTACGAGCAGTAGCCAGCGCATACACTTCATTCTTTTTGGACCAAAGCGAGAGGGGAAAATATCACGTTTTGTATCGAAATAAAAAGGGAAATCCACGTCACTTTCGAATGTTTTTACGAGCGAGTTATTTACTTTATGAGGTGGGAGTGAGTATGGCGAACGTAGTGCAATTATTTTTTACCTACCCTTTTTATTTTTTGCCATTGTGTAAAAAGCCAGTGCAAAGAAAGAGTTTCAACCAATGGACGATAAATGACAATATTTTGCCTCGTATGGATTTTTATGGGTAATATATTCAAGAGTAGCACCACTTCGTATTGAGAGTGAGATCTTATACTCATATGGTAAGTACGCTCTTTTCCATCTCACTACTTGATTTTCAAAACGAACTTACGATTGGAGGAAAATATCCCGCAAGTGTTGACAGAACAGTCGTCACAATTTCCACTGTTTATAGATGTCGATTTGTAGCCACTAGTGCCCCCACTGCAAAGTTTGGCATTGCTACATGTTTTTAGTCGAGACTTTTTCGTCGATTTAGCAGGGGACGGAAGTGTGTATGTCACATTAACGACTGCAGCTTACAATATAATCCAACGAAGGTCTACTACATGTACAGAGGCTTGGAGTGGCGTCACCGCCTATCCGATACAACAAAGCGCTCGAGATCGGTGTTATGGCACATCACGGGTAGTGTGAGGAGCAGCATCATTTGGATCATTTGACTCTATAATGTATCACTATATACATATCACAGGTTGAAGTTTTCATACATTAAAGTTTTCATAAGAGTGATGGTCTTTTTTTTATTGGCTCGCAATCAAATGGCGCATCATTCCGCAATTTCCCAAGCTCAAGTTACTTGGTTTCCCTTTTTTTACATAATGGACGTCAAGCAGCGCGGTCTATTGAGCGGCATGTACGCCGGTGTGGGCGTTGCCTTTGCTGCGTCAGCCTATTTCAATTTGTTGTCCAAGGGAGCGTGCGCTGCCTTTCTCTCTCTTGTATGGCTGGGCTTTGTCCTCGCCATCTCGTGCACCGAGTCGTGGCTCAAGTTTTGCGCGCAATTTGTGCCACATCACTTAGCCCTGGATCTGGGCCGTACCATGTTTGCAGCTCTTAACTCTGTAGAGATCGGTATCGCTGTTGGGCTCTGGGTACTGCACTTCCTGGTGTCGTCCACCTCAGACGACGCCGTGTGGCGTCTCGTCATCGTCACGTTTCTTGTGGTGGTGCAGACCACGTGGCTCTATCCGAAGCTGGAGCTCACGGTTGAGTTTGCACTCTACGAAGAGCTTAAGGAGCTGGATGATGACAAGTTGTCGTTTAACCAGAAGATGCAGTTTGGAGAGATGCGTCACAAGGTTCAGATCCAGAGCAAACCGGCCAAGATCTATCACATCCTGTACATGGGGGCCGAGTTCGTCAAGATCCTTACGCTCGCCAGCTTCGCCCTGCACTTCCTCAAGGCCATTCCAATGTAAGTTTATACATGGGCTGTGTTCTGTAGGGAACGCAAGTCCTTGCCAGCACAGAGAAATCAGGAACCTACGTGCGCTCAAGATACCATGTGGTCGTCCAATGATTGGTCGGAATTTTTGAATGGATGGGGAGCATTTGATTTGTTGCACCGCATACACAGAAATCAAACAGCGACCGACGACTCCAGCGCAGCAGGCACGTCTACAACTTTGTACGGTGCACACGTGCCAACATATAAAACCCGTCTCTACAAATAATATGAGCAGCAAAGTTCAATGTTCAAATGCAACAGCGCCGGTCAAACAGCTGTTGATCATGCAGTACTATCTGGTACTGTGTCACTTTCCGTTACGATTTCTTATCATACTTATCTACATTCGAATACAGCAGCAAGGTATTATCCGCCTGAAGGAACCTATAACGGCTCGACGCTGATGGCCCCTCTTCTAGCTTGTTACAGATTGAACCCATTGACTTCGGTGGCACCACGCATCGACAAGTTGACGAATGAGGCTCCTGGGTTATGTGCTAGTACTTCGCACCTCTCTGTATCCACCAAGGTGCGTAAATTGACTTTACGTGGCAGCATTTGATTGAAGAACAATGGCGTTGCTGTGTTTGTCGGACACATAAACACAGGGAGCTATCATGGTATCCGTTCAAGGATGGTCGGGCGTGGCAACTGACTGCGACAATGCGGTGCTTTTGAGAGCTGCTCAAGATACCAGTGCAATGTAAAGTTGTAGTCAGTATGGTCCTGGCGCTGTTGCTGGATGATTATCCCCACCACCGCGTGTGCTGCTCTCAGATCAAAGACTGCACAAATCATGGGGCCCTGATATAAAGAAGAAGTCGCTGCCGATGGTAATGGCTTTGTGATGGTAAATGATGCCAACGAGAAGCGTGGCTACTTGCTCGCTCATCAGCCCACCATTAGGGCTCAATAACTTTATGATACCTGTCATAAGGTCAAGACTTTCCTGGGCTCTATGATTCTGCGCGCGAACTGCAGCGCATGGAAGAATTTGATCGCGTTTTGTGTGATGTTTCTTGCAGTGGTGATGGCACTTTTTGGTGTAGTGTTTCTTGCAGTGGTGATGGCACTATTCGTAAAAATCGCAATTTGTGGAGACGTTGGGCCCCTGGTATTGCTCTCGCGTTGCACCCACCTTACATCGACCTTGGAATGCGTGCTGCGGCATTACTTTGGGATAACAGCAGCTCTATCATGACGTACTCGACGTGCTCGCTAAATCCTATTGATAATGAGTCGTTGTTGCCGAGCTACTAAGGCGTGCGGATGGTGCGCCAGAGTTAGTGGACAGCTTTGGGATGCCATCCGGTCTCATCACACGATCCGATGCGACGTCTTGGGACGTGGATGGAAAGCTCATACTGCTAAGGGTGAATTCGAGCTCCATTGCAGTGGTTCGATCGATACGAGAGTGTGCCTGATTTCCTACAGGGCTTATCCGTCCCGCAGTCTATGTTATCTTCGTCGAAAGACAAGAATCTCGAAATTCTTACGCGTTGTGACTGACCAGAATCACTGGCGGTGCTTCGAAGGTACGGGTGTGCAAAGTTTGCTGGACGGGGTCAGAGAGGCTGGACTATATAGTTGCTTATGTTAGCTATAGCATCGATACTCTCAGTTCCTTGATACGCATTAGTGTGGGTAATATACGCAGCATCAGGTCTACCTTTGTCGTATAGTATCATTTACTTCAGGCCAATGTTCCACAATGTATAAGATTTAACCTTTTTTTATAAATATAGATTAAATACTACAGTATTTGCCATCCAGTTAAATATGAAGCTTATTATTATACGGGGGACTAAATTAAACAGGCTCTATACGGCTCGGAGAACTTTTGACAAAACATCAATGCGCCTTCACTACATTTCGCTTCTTGTAGTTGGAGCCTCTTTAGAAAATGCTAAGTCTAATATCGTGCCAACAGAATTGACCCTGAGTACAGCAGCTTCACTCACTGCTGGAAAGAATGATGTGCCTGTCCTGAGGTTTATAAGGACTTCCGTTATTGCAGGCAAAGACGACGAAGATGGGGAACAATCCGCCACTGTGCACAGAGATGATGGAGAAAGGACTTTTTCTTTCAATTCATTAATAAATGTCGACGCTCTGAAGACAAAAGTGACAACGTTGAAGTTGGGGATGTTTGGTAATAATCCGGTGGAGTACGCTTTTCGAAAGTACGGTCTGATGAAGGCTGAGGACAATTACTTAAGCACAAAAAGTTTAACAAATGGTTTACCCAAACGAAGAGACTTTATCCACTAGTCTATAACGAGAAGGCAGTTTCGACGCTGTTGCGATACTATTCCGATAGCAAACTGTACAAAATTCTCGATGCGGGGAAGGTCGGGTCTACTAAAGATGTTGCCGAGGGTCTCCAGATTGCGCTAAGAAAGAGCTGGTTATCCAAAATAAACGACAGCCCGCTCAATATCTATAAGGAGTTGGAACCGGGCAGCAAGCTGGATGACATTTTGACCAGCCCAAATTTGCAAGTCTGGACCAGATACCTCGATCAATACAACGCAGCACACCCCGACCGTAAGATGGACGAGATTGAAGTGTTGCTGGATAGTTATGATGAAAAGGACGTTTTTGAAATGCTCGAAGCGGCGAAGGAGGTTGAGGGCACGAAGAAGCTAGCGACGAAGTTGCAGATGCAGCAGAGGAAGTACTGGGTCAAGAATAATTATAGCCCGAAAGAAGTCTTCAGAGTGGTGGAGCATGGTCGCAAGCTGGATGACATTTTGACCAGCCCATATTGGCCTGTCTGGACCAGATACCTCGATGAATACAACACAGCAAATTCCGGCCACGAGATGGACGAGATTACGGTGCTGCTGGGTAGTTTCGACCAAAAGGCCGTGTTTGGAATGCTCGAAGCGGCGAAGGAAGCTGAGGGTACACAGAAGCTGGCGACGAAATTGCAAGGACTGGTTGGAGATGGAGTACTACCCTCCTAAAGTCTTCGACGACCCTCGGTGAGGATGATGTTGTTGGGCTAGCAGAATTGCTGATAGCTGCGAAGACAAGTTCGACGGGCAAGGTAAAAACAATGGCCACTACAGTATTGACTCGTGGGTGAGGGATGGCAAGAGTATGAAGACCCGCACTTGTATTTGAAATTGAAACAATTATCAAATGATGACCCTAGGAGAGAGGCTTATCGGGAATCCACAATTTTTGTAGTGAAGCCGTCACGGATAAATGAAAACGTGAAGATAATCTAAAAATGCTAAATAATCCCACCTTGTACACATTACGTATCAGTTTCCTTTGCTTTTTAAAAAGGATAGATTTCCGCGCATGGCGTGGATCTCTTGACTCTTGCCATGTTCTTTTTCAGATTTATGCTTGATCCATGTCTCGTCGCGTTCAGCTCGATCAACATAAAACCTTTATGAGTCGGTTTAAAATTTGTGTCGGATTTATGCCGTCACGAGACATCGAGCAAGAGTCTCCTAGATGCAGATTATCAGCCATGAATGACAAAGCTTCTGTTGCACGTTTTGCTACGCACAAAGACACAAACAAAGAAACACGGACGACTATCGCTGCTTTTTTTCGAGTACAAATTAAGTGTTGAACCACCGCGAAGGCGATCAACTTTCAACACTCCTCCAGCCAAGGTCGGAGGACGGATCGACAAATTGCCTACCTAGACCCATTGTCGACAATAGCAACGGAGTTACAGCGTCAGTCCTTACGGCCTCACCATCCCAACCTACTTCGAAAGCCAATGGAGTAAATGTTGGCGGTTTGCACACAAATACAAGCCAGCACGGAAACACGCCGCAATTGCAACACAATATGAAGTACTATCGAAGCAGCGGTAAACGATGAGCAAAAGACTTAGGGTCTCCAGGAGTCTCGAGCTTGGCTATTGCCGGCTATAGCCTTTGGGAGTCCAGCTATAACCCTGAGGCATAGCTGGCATAGCCTTTCCAAACACGTAATCATTCGTTGCCACCTGCTACATGCTAATTAGCCGCAAAAAACACTCCCACACGCTATTCCTTCGTCAAAAGGTCGCACAAGCTCCAGCCGTCTTAATCCCGCGTCCATCGTAAGCATGACGAATGTGGCTTGCACCAACGTATCATCCTCGACAAAATGTCACAGGTTCAAATCGAATTCCTGCGCAGCCTGAACCGTAGTCATCACCATTCTCCAATGTCTCTGCCTAATCTTGTCCTAGAATGTCATCCATCTGTCTCATCCTTTCTTCTCAATAGGCCCATATCCTGTCAATCAGCGCTTCAAACGCGGTAGCAGAGTTTTCCACCTGCTCTGCGATGATCGACTTTTGATATTCCTCAAGCAACTTAGTAATAATTTCAAGCAAGAAACACGAACCTAGAGGTCAGTCACAGCTAGTCGTGCATGCCCCACAGATGCCTAAACGCTCAAAGCCAAGCAATTGAACGAAATAAAAGGCTCAATCGTCAAGTCAGACACAAGCACACTGCACTAATGCTTCAAGAAAAGAAAGAACATTGCATAAAAGGCAGAACAGCACTCCATCGTCCGAGATTCCTATGCTTCCATAGGCCAAATAGCCAATACTTCAACGTATTTATTTATGGAGGTCATGTGGCTCGTCTACAAAGTACCCATTTTCTATGTGGTCAATTTTAAGTTACCCATTTTGAAGAAGGACCCTCCATTCACCGCTGAAAAGACATTAAGAGACATTGAGAGACACTTTTACGGAAAAGAAAAAAGAGAACATGCAGACGCCTTCATCTTCACTGCACGTGATTTCCAGCCGTTTCTTTCGTCTCGAGTGCAATCACGAGTACCTCTTCCAGTCCGAGTATAAGCGGTAAGCGGTCTTTTAGCGCTTAAATCGTACATTATCCAGTCTGAATCGTATTGTCGTGTCTGTCGATTCACCTAACCCACCTCACTGACTCTTTGCTTCAACTTCAACTTCTTCTTCTACCAATAGGAGCAATCGAACCAAAGGGTTGAAAATTCTTCGATGTTTCCCTCACTGTTGTCCCGAACATATTGACCGGAGTTATTGTGGATCTTCCTTGAGTATCGAGATTCAACTAGCCGAATGTCCAAGTCAAAGTGTCCCATCAAAGCCCGCATTCCGTGAAATCTTATCAGTTTTTGCCCGCTTTGAAGCTGTGAGTGATGGAAGTCTCTGTCCGGGAGAATGTGTTGACGTAAACATCATGGAGCAAGAGGTACAAACTGAGACCCATTTAGACGGTCAATGGATTGCTGGTGTTTTGGTTCGACCAATGGATGTAATGGCTACAAATCATGAACCTGTCAAAACTGATAATGATGATAATGATGCTGCTGCGTCACTGGAAGAGCCAAATTCTTTAGTGTACAATTTAAATGGCAAAGCATTTTCCAAATGGTATTACGATTGGGAAAGTGGTGCGAACAAGGCACAACGACTGATGAAACATGTCTTGAAGGCATATATTGTTGAACGAATTGCAGTGGAGAGAGACAATCAAGTTCCAACCATTTCAAATCAAGAGACTTTGATGCAAGTATATCGAGTAGTGCATGTGGTCTCGTCACCTGAATTTACAGTCATTTCATATCGTCGAGCACCAATGGATCAATTGCAACTTGCTCATGCACATGCTGCTGTACAATTGGGCAAGACACAGATTCCACTACAAGTGATGAGTAGTTCACAGGAAGGTGTGTCACCTAATGGACTACGGACTTTTACCAATGAGATACATCATTGGGGTGTCTACAAGTCAGTACATAATACAAACGTTGCTCGGGAGGATGACGTGGCTGCATGGAGTAGTAAACTGAACTCGTCTCTACAAAGTGAATTTTATGAAGCAGAAGCAAAGCGTCGACGGCGAATGTACTCGAATCACCAGGAATTGATGCATCCTCTTGAAGATAAACTATGTTGGGAGCATTTGAATGCACCTGCCGTCGCCGTGTCCAAGAGTATGGCGCTACTTCTTGCGTTTGTCCGCTGGGCGCCGCTAAGACTGTACGTGCCGGTAGCTGCAGAGCTCGTGCACTTGCTTGATCAGAGAATTTTTGAGCTGGTGCCAGCGAGTGCACAGAAACCTACTAAGCCGAACTGCTTTTCCAGGCTATTACTTCAATATGCTCAGATAGAGGAAAGCATACGAGCTACTGGGGAAGGCACGACTCTCAGAACGTTGCTTCGAGTAGCTTCGCAGACTGTGTTATGGTTATATTCTCAAGAGACTTGCCATTGGATACGTCACTTTTTCCGACAGAATGCTACGTCTGTGCTGGATAAGATGGCCATGCGTTCATGCTTCCTTCACTTTTTGCATGAGTTAGAGGAACGTTTGAGTGCAGAAGTGATTGCAGCTACTGCGCTTCGTAGGTTATCCAATGTGGCTGAGGAGGTGATTGCAGCGGTGTATTCGTGCGAATTGTTTTACGATCGACGACCACTTGTACGACAGATTTTAAGTGGCCAAAGCTTCGCTGGATGGAATATGTTCGTCGCGCAGATGCGTGATACATACATTGGTGCTACGAGCTTACCAGTATCGTTGCCACCGCTTTGTCGGAATGTCACTTTCTCAGCAGCTTTTCCTCCTCGTAATGTTGTCGAACGTAGGTGGAATGGTGAGTGGTGTTTGGATATGGATGATGTGCAATGGGATGTCAATGAAATAAGGTCTTTTGGGAATGGAGGCAAAAGCAGTGCTGATCCCAGGGTACCAGATGTATCACTATTTTCTTTGGTCAAGCTCATCTCGCAAATTGTCCGGTTCGAAGTAGCTATTGATATTCGAGAAAGTTCATTACGCGTTCGTGCATCGCAAGGCTTGGCAGGGTGCGTTGATTGCATGCACCTGGTGCTGGACGGCAAGGATCGCGTGTATCGTACCTGTCCAAATGGTATTACTTCGTGCGGTGGTGATGGCACTTGCGGGGACTATGTTGGTGAAATGTGTTTCGAGGACACGGGCCAACTAGCTATCTTTCTTGAGATCTATAACTGGTCACTGGAACAGGGCACTCGTTCATATCATGTGCGGGCAAAGATTGAGTGCCACAACAGTGGCCGGTTGGCTGTCGACGGCGACATTTTGGAGACTACAGGGTCGAGTACGTTCCCATCGGATAAACTGTCATACGTTGGAGAAATGTCTTTGCGTGCTAAGCTCGAGACTATCAAAATGGCCAGCGCAAGACGGTACGATGGTGCCGGTGCATCGAGAGATACACCTGCTGCTTCTTGGGCAGAGTATGGCAAATTTCATTTAGGCTATCGAAAGATGTGTGAAAGGTGAGCTGATCGAAATGTTAGAACGAGATAAACAAATGTACTCTCTCTCTCTGCTAGAATAATACCAGTTGGTTGGGAAGTCAAACAAGCTGATGATGACAACAAGGTATGGAGTCTATTGTTCTGACAGAGTCTATTGCGTTACCAATGCTTGCACTACCTTACATTTCCTCAGCGCGGTGTTTTTTACTTTTCTTGTTTTTCTTGGTCTGTTTATCCTTGCCTGCGATACCATTCCGCAGTGCATCCATGATCATCGCCACATCAGCACTTTTAGCAACCTCTTCCTTGCGCTGTTCAGCTTCGTCTCCCGTCAGTTGAGTAACTTTGCGCTTCTTGGACTTCTTGTGCTTTTTTTGCAAGAACTCGGATTCGCTTCAGGTGCTGCTTCATCACCCTCCACCACATCCTTAAATAAGTCGGCGATTTTCTGTTGCTTCGTGTAAAGTGCCTCCCACTTTTCGCGGTTCTGCTTGTACTCAAACAAGTGGAATGTGTTCATCACGAGCTGTGAAAAATGACTTCCACTAAGCTGCGTCTCCACGGCCAGTAGTTCGTGCACAACTGCCTCCTTCTTGTCCAATGGAAGATCCTCGTAGCATTTCATTACCGAGAAAGCACCTAACCGATCCTGTGCCAGCGTACCAAACTTGCCCACAAACCGTTCATACAGCTCCTGCCGCACCCATGCGGTGCTCGGTTCTTTGGATTCCCAAATGGGTTCTATGACACAGCGGCTGCCAGTAGAGTCTTTGGCTAAAGCAAGAAGCTGCGTGCTATTAAACGAGAGAATGCCCTTGTACAATGGAGCCAGATATTCTCCAGTCTCAAACTGCTGCAGTTGCTCGATTATCTTGGCGCCCATGACGTTCAGCTGAATCTTAGCGGACATAGCAGATGTTGACAGCTGCACGTTCAAGAGGGACGCAACAAAGTTCTTTCGCACAGCTTCAGGCTTTTTGCACTCCTGCTTCGCAACAGCGTTCACAAGCGCCTGAAACGTCTCACGTTGGCGCAGTGTAAACTTCACACACATTTCCATTACACGCCAAATAACCCCAGGGCGGCCCATGGTCAGCAATGTCCAAAGCGAAGCCTCCAATTCTTCCAGCACATCCGTAGCGAGAGCCTCTGTACGCACAAGCTTAATGGTGTGCTGCACTACATAGTTAGCAATGTTGTGTTCTGCCAGCTGTAGCATCTTGCTGCGCATGCAGCGCTCGAAAACCTTTGTGAAAAACTTATCACTGACACTCTCAAACAAAGCTTCCAGCACGTGACTGGTCACAGCATTAGCCGCCAAGTCGTAAAAGCCACTCTCACACGCATCCTTATCTTCCCACTGAAGAATCTTCTTCGCAAGTTTACGTCGGCTTTTCGAAGGTGCTAGCTTCAATGCCGAAGCAATAAGCGGGCCAGAGTTTTGATCATACAACAAGTTCTCTAGCTCATGCGTCGGGCTTTCGATCAACACCACCACCAGCTCCTCAAAAAGCGTCTTAAACGTGTCTGGCACGTCAAACGTAATTTCGGAGCCATCTTTACCAGGATGAGCTTCGGTAAACGTAACAACACGGTGCTTGGCCTTCTTGCCTCGCTTCTCCGGAACCAGCGGCTTGCCTGCCAGCACAGCTAGTACCGAGCGCAGCACGTGACTTGCACTCACGTCATTCATGAGTGTGATCCATTCATTCTCCACCTCTTTAACCATATGAACAATAATGTCGCTCATAAGCGGAATGTCCTTTATCCTGTCGTCGTCCTCGCTTTCCTTGTCCTCCAAACCGTCCACCTCCTTCGCTACTACAACACTAGAACGAGACAGCAAATGTTGTAGTACATGAGACGAGTAACGATTAGTCCACAAGTGGCTCATATAGCCCGCCATTTTGTGCAGCAGGAAACGCAATTGGGCGTCAGTCATCTTGGGCAGGAAAACCTCCAGTAGCTCACCAGCGTGACGGTCCGAGGCAGCACTAGCAACACGAGGTGCCAGTTCTTCCAGTACATTCCATAACATCAGTTCCACATCGTCTAACGTTGATTCATTGTCTAATTGCGTCAACATTTCCGTCACTTCTTTCAAATATGACAAAGTATCGGGTTCCAAACGACGTGGACGAACACGTCTACATAGAATCATACACATAGAACCATAATATTAATAAGATTACAATCTATTATACTTGTACGATCATAAATCCTATTAAAACGTACTCGGGTCGCTGCAAACGGGCATCCTGTGCTTGATAATCCAGCAGATCAGTCATGAATGATTAAATGTCTACCAACCGATAATGGGTCTCTGTGACATGGTACAAAATAATGTGTCCACACTAAGTTAAATGACGTGGTCCACTCCATCTCATCATTTTCATCATTTGAATCCAAATGACCGAGTCCAGTAGCATCTCAAGTGCAAGTTCAAGTCCAAGTAGCGGCAGTGCCAGTGCGAGTCCAAGTGTCTCCGGTGCATCAATCTCTTCCCCTTCGACTCTAAATTTTGTACTAAAAGAAAACGAGTCAAAAGAAGACGTTGTGGCGTCAATGGATGAAGAAGATTCCGAAGAAGAGGACAATGGGACAGTCAAAGACGAGGAAACAATGGACCGACCATCTGCTTTGAAAAACGACATAAAAAAACCATTATTATCCATTGAAGAACGAGAAAAATTACGTAAAGAAGAAGAAATGGTGCTTCAAGATCAACGAGATCGTCAAAGTAAATCGCTTGATCTTGTGAAACAAAATCTGACGCTTGATGCCGAATGGGAAAAGAAATCCGCCCGAGAGAAGAAAATGGCGTTTTTAATGGCTCAATCGGATGTTTTTACATCGTTTTTAATGGGTGGAAGTAGTGCCATGGGAAAAGAAATGTCTCGTTCAAAAAAAGCAGCAAAAGAAGCAGGATCAAAACGAGGTAAAGGGAATAAACAAGCAGATGCTCAAGCATTACAGGACATGGATGATGCACGTTATACACGTGTTACACAACAGCCATCGAGTATCAAGTTTGGTACGATGAAACCTTATCAATTGGAAGGACTGAATTGGATGATTCGACTTCATGACTCTGGAGTGAATGGCATCTTGGCTGATGAAATGGGACTAGGAAAGACTTTGCAAAGCATTTCATTGCTTGCGTACTTGAGAGAAGCACGAGGTATTGAAGGACCTCATATCATTATTGTGCCCAAGAGTACAGTAGGTAATTGGATGAGAGAACTCAAGAGATGGTGTCCGTCTATTAAAGCCTTTAAGTTTATGGGCAGTAAGGATGAACGTGCAGTGCAGAGAACGACAGTCGTGAAGCAGAACTTTGACGCTTTAGTGCTGTCATACGAAGTGGCTATTATTGAAAAGGCCATCTTGCAGAAGATCAAGTGGAAATACTTGCTTATTGATGAAGCTCATCGAGTGAAGAATGAGAACTCAAAGCTCTCGCGCGTCGTGCGTGAGTTTAAAGTCGAGCACCGACTGCTGATTACAGGCACGCCGCTGCAGAATAACCTACACGAACTGTGGGCACTGCTGAACTTCTTGCTACCCGACATTTTCTCAGATGCTGAAGATTTTGACGCGTGGTTCAATGTGGACGAAGAAGAAGGACAAGAGAACGTGATCAAGAAGCTGCATACGATCCTGCGTCCTTTTCTACTGCGTCGACTGAAGGCGGATGTAGAGCACTCGCTACCACCGAAGATTGAGACCAAGCTCTATGTTGGCTTGTCCGAGATGCAACGTGAGTGGTACATGCGTGTACTGCATCGCGATGCCACGCATTTGAACGCTATCGGTGGAAGCGATCGTGTGCGTTTGCTCAATATCTTGATGCAGTTACGTAAGGTATGCAACCACCCTTACTTGTTCGAGGGCGCAGAGCCTGGTCCGCCGTACCAGGAAGGTCCGCATCTTTGGGAAAACTGCGGCAAAATGACTTTGCTGCACAAACTCTTACCGAAACTCCAAGCCCAGGGATCTCGTCTGCTGATTTTCTGTCAGATGACGTCCATGATGGATATTTTAGAAGATTACATGCGCTACTTTGGTCACGACTACTGCCGACTGGACGGATCCACGAAGGGTGAAGATCGTGACAACATGATGGAAGATTTTAACGCCCCAGGCAGCACCAAATTCTGCTTCTTGCTGAGTACTCGTGCTGGTGGTCTTGGCATTAACTTGGCTACGGCTGATATCGTGATCCTGTTCGACTCGGACTGGAACCCTCAGGTGGATCTTCAGGCCATGGATCGCGCACATCGAATTGGACAGACAAAAATTGTGCGCGTGTTCCGTTTCATTTCGGATGGCACTGTAGAAGAAAAGATCGTAGAGCGTGCTGAGCGTAAACTGTACCTCGATGCTGCTATTATTCAGCAGGGTCGACTGGCGCAACAGAACCGGAAGCTCTCGAAGGACGAGCTGATGACGATGGTGCGCTTTGGCGCCGATGAAATTTTCAACGCACGCGGATCAATGATCACGGACGATGATATCGACGCTATCCTGGCTCGGGGTGAAGAACGCACTGAGTCCATGAAGGGTAAGATTGCTGCTGACATGCAGCACAGCTTGGCGAATTTCTCTTTGGCAGGCGATAATGGCAACGCTAGTGTCTCCAGCCTCTATGAGTTCGAGGGTGAAGTGTTTTCAAAGGACACAAACAATGGAGACATTCTGCCTTCAACATTCATTGCTCTTCCTCAGCGTGAACGCAAATCTAACTACAATGAAGACGAGTACTATCGCCAGCAGGCGGGTTTGTCGAAGCCCAAGAAGGCTAAAAAATCTGGCTCGGACGCTGCAAAGGTTCCCGTTGTCCATGACTACCAGTTTTTCCAGCAAGAGCGCATGGTAGCACTGCTCACGAAGAAGACTCACGTCGAAAATCGCCGGAAGGAACTTACCCGACTGATTAAAGAAGCCAAAGCTGATGAGGCACGTGCTAAAGCTCGCAAGGCGAAGCCTGCTGAGGGCGAAGAGTCAGCGGAGAACTCAGCAGAGGAAGAGGAAGTTGATGATTCGCGCTCTGCGGCTCTCGAGAAGGAGCTGAATGAGACGGAGATGGATGCTATGGATGCGAAGGAGCTGGAAGAACTTGAGAAGGAGGGGTTCGGTGATTGGACTCGTCGTGACCTTAAGCAGTTTATCACTAGTTGTGAGCGCTACGGTCGTGCTGACAAGGCACGTGTGTGTGAGGAAGTTTCGCTAGTCCTTGGTAAAAATCCTGCACAGGTGGAACGATACTACGAGACATTCTGGTCTCGCTTTACGGAGCTTAAGGACCACGCGAAGCACATCGAGAAGATTGAGCGAGGTGAGAAGCGCCTGGAACGCAACGAAGTAGTGAAACAGGCTTTGGCGCGTAAGTGCAGCCGGTACAGCCATCCGTTGCGTGACATGCGGTTGCATTACCCGGCCGGATATAAGAGCAGAGGCTATATCCTGGACGAAGACGTGTTCCTTGTAGTTATGATGAACAAGTACGGTCCGTTGGAGCACTGGGGTGAGATTCGCGACGAGATCCGTAAGGCATGGCAATTTCGTTTTGATTGGTTTTTCAAGTCGCGCACCATTGGCGAGCTTCAGAAGCGCGGTGAGGTGCTGACTCGCATGATAGAGCGCGAGAACGACGAGCTCAAGAGTCGCACTAGCAAGGATGAGGACGACCTTGCAAAGAAGGCGAAAAGAAGCAGCTCTTCGAGTTCCAAGTCAAAGAGCAAAAATAGCAGCAGTCGTAGCAAGACGTCAAGCTCCAGTTCGAGTAAGAAGCGTAGTAGCTCGTCCAAGCCGTCGTCATCATCTTCTGCTAAGAGACAGCGTTCCAGCTAAAAAGATGCTTGCCTAATAGCGATGGCCGTAGCTCTTTACACTTTCACAAATGTTCATGTGTTCACGATTGATGGTCTTACGAGTTGATGTTTTGATCCGTTCGTAGAGAGCATCACGCGCATGATGATACGGATGGAGTGCAGCACAATGAAACCACTCGTTGTGACAGGTACTGGTTTCTTCACATGTGAGGGCATGTAAGTGTTTGCAGACGTGTTGGCATAGTCAAGAAGGTCCTAGAGTACAATAAACAGCACGACGACAAGAAATGTTGATAAAACTACGAGTCGAGAGCACATGGTCGTATCGTTCAAGCTCTTGTAGCAGATATTCCATCAGTAATTAGACACTTTCATTAACGCGAAACGAAAGGAATGACAACGAGTTCATGCATACGCCGAATCGAACCGGAACAGCCCTAAAATATTCAGACATAATCATATTCACGCAGTAGATTGACACGCATCCGGAACGGCCATTCAAACAATCGCAAGGCATCAAAAAATAGCAACTTCAGCCCCATCCTGTAGGTTTCATTAATGCCAAACAGACGCAAAGAGTCAGTAAAGCCTATACTACTTCCAATCCTCTTCTAGACTGTTCATCCGGGCTGCTGCTATCCGTGCTGCTGGCATAGTCTTCATCACGAGGTTTCTGTGGTGTTGACACGCGAAAGACAAACGACTGTGCCACAATATCATGTTGACGGGGACTGCTGAGACTGATAGGCATTGCAATCGAGTACTTGACAAAATTACCAAACTTCTGGTGCTTCGAGACCAAGTAAATACCCAGAGCTACAAGCAATATAGCAGTCGGAAACATAATGCCCTGCGTCTTGGTGAAATTGTGTGCCTGCTGGAAGAAAACAACACCACTAATGTTACTCATCGTGATCCAAAAGCCTTGAAACACAGGATACGACGACATTGTATCTCCCGTCATTGTCGCCAGGTTCAGTGTATGTGTCTGTGTCAATAAAGTCACCGCCATGCCTAGCCACAGCACGTACGTGCCAAAGTACAAAAATTGATTGTTACCCGAGACCGTAGACGAAATAAGTTCCACGACACACTTGGCTAATAGTACCGACTGTCCACCAATAGTTCCAGAGATAGCTGCCCAATATAGAGGCAATTTTGGGTCAATAATAAGCGTATGCTTCACAATTTCACTCTCGTCGTATCTGCCAATTTTAAGACTAGATAATTCAATCTCTTCCAAATGATCGTCTTCTTCTCCTGCTAATCGTTTACTCATAGGTGAAAGTGCCAAGTGATCACTTGAAATCGGCGATGGAAAAGGTGACGTCATCGTTCCTTTGTGTTTCTTCTCATCCAAAGCACCAGATTCTTCCCTCTTCTCCTTTTGCTGCTGCATCGTCTCGGCTACTTCTCGTGTCATCTCTTGACCATCATCCACCCGTCCATCTTCCTTCTCTGTACTAACAACACGTAATGCCGGTGCTTTGGAACGTCTTGCACGCATATACAACGTCATGACAAAGGCCGTTGTAATAACAACATAGAGAATAAAAGGTGCTGCTGTCATCAATTCATAAATCTGATTCATCTGATAATGCCCTTCGTCTTCTTCACTCGCCGCGGCTAGTACCACAACCCCAAGGGATACAAATGCTACACCCACAATATCCGTCACATATAAACTCTGTTTGAGCCAAAAATGTGACATGAGACAATTGCCCAAAATCGTCGAACCACCTCCAAGAGACGCCACGAGCGTCTGTGGTGCAAACCCGAGCGCAAGAAAATCACCAAATGAAGCAATTACAACACACGTCATACCAACCCACCAAATAGGACGTTTTGTATATGGTCGAGGAATTGCACAAAGTTCTTCTTTATCATGCGAATATTTTTGTAAATTAACACCAAAAATTGAAAGAAAAGCAGCGACTACGGCAATGGCACCACCAATGAAATCACTCTTCATTCTTGCGTCTCGTTTTCTGTTATGATGATAATTCTCTTTCTCTATTGGGAAGAAGAGAGAGAGAGAGAGAGAGAGAGAGAGAGAGAGAGAGAAGACACTTGAGAACTAGCAGGTACTTTCTTGACTAAGTCGATTCTATCTGACTGGATTTTAAGTGGGAGGGTACAACTCTTGACACCGAATGGTGGAAAAGGGTGGAAAAAACGAGGTGTTTTCTTCTGATAGAAACGAGATAAGACGGAAAAGGACTCGCAAGTGACAACGGCGATTAGGGTTTGAACATCATACCGCATGGAATACAGATGATATATGGCTGGCTATATGTAATTATTATTATTCTGGAAAAGAGTAGAGTTTAGGGATGCGTGCTTTATCCTATCGTATGGATGCAAATTATGGAACATTTTATAAATGCTTTTTGATACTGATTGACACCATTGACAATGAATGACACGACTGGCAAAGAATATGACAGTTTTATATCAGGTGGTAGTAATGTATACCACTATATAAAGGCAGTGAACAAAGCGTCAGAGGGAATTTAGCGTTCCAGTAAATTCAACGTCACAGTAACTTAACGTCACAATGAATTATCGTAATTATATCAACTTAACGTCGCAATCAACTGATCCATCCGAGCAGCTGCGTTATTTGTGTGGTAGCAGTCAACCAGGTCGTATCGACCATCACCAATCAGAGACCACTACCGCATCATTGGTGGAAATGTCACTCAAAAATGATGTAACACATATTGAAGATACACGAGTTGGAATCAGATTATACTACCCGTGGCAATAGTTTGATAACTGTCCGCTTCACTTTGAAAAAAGGTCGTGTATATCTGATTCACATGAATTTGTAATATGCTACTTCTATTATTAGCTTTCTATTTTTTTTGTTTATCACAGATAAAGTTGCTTAAAATGTAACTGTCTTAACTAATAACTTTTTTTTTAATTGATAAATCTTTCCTCTCTCTGCAAAAGTTTTTCGGTATATACATGTGTCAGAAAGGCGATGGCTTCAGTCACAACCCATCAACAGGTCTTTAAAAAATAAAAGGTCACAAAATTACCCTTTTTGCTCTTTTTCTGTAAGGTTTTTAGGTAAACCATACGCTTTTTTGCAACCTCTCCCATTTCGACGATAACCCTACCCTTATTTATAAAAAAGGACAAGAGAAAAGGCAGTACTATTTCGAGATTATAGCACCAAAATGGTGACGTATAAGTCAGTCCATTTTCTATTATGTGGTCGTAGCCAATAGTTCATTAAGGAGACGAGTCTCAATTTGCGTATCTCCTACAGTAGCACTTGCCTCAACCCATGAAGCGATCTCCTTGTCAATTTGTTTCTCTAAGACTCCAATAGTCTCGAATCTCACGAGTTTTCGTGCTTGAAAGATGCCAATGGTTTGCTGCTAGACACATTTGCCGACTACACAATTGTAAAGTACTTGCGTATCTCCCAGTTTCGTCCTTGTTTAGACGAGTCAACTGATACAACAATGCAAACAATCTCTCACCAAGCGCCGATACATTTTTTGCATCACGACCAGACGCAATGAGTCCAAAAGGAAGCAAATGAGGTGCAATATCCACAGTTGAGACATGAAGCAGATACTTTTCGTGACTCATCGTCGAGTTCCAGACTAAAATACACGCCATAACAGCAAACAGTGCACGACGTTTCATGGCATCCGAGTGAACAAAAGAGTCGAGTGAAGCCATACTTTGGCTAAACGCGTCGATCACATCCAAAAGTGAAGATACGGTTTCACATGGTTTCGTGTGGTGTGCAATAAGAGCTCCAATCTTTGCAGTGAACGGCTGTAAGTAAATGTCGACAAAAGTGTCATCTGTCCATTCATTGAAATCATGACGTAAAATCCACTGAAAAATCAGTGCTGTCTTGCACTTGGTCACGGCAAAAGCCTCGAGCTTTGCTAGCTCAACAAGAAAGACGCCACTTCTCCACCAACTCCACACGGAAGAGTTCACTACATTTGGCTGTAAAAAAATGTCAACTGGACAACGAGCACCATAGTCCAGCTTTGAAAGAACACGAAGTGCAAACTGCTCCACAAGAAAGGAAGCATGCACGTCGAACGGAAGCTCCAATACCACTTTTTCGAGAATTGTTTTAATGACCATTTCCAAAGAGTTCTCTGGGATACGGCGAGTTGTCTTGGCGTCTAAGATATCGCGTAACATTGCAGTCCAGCTGTCAAAGAGAAGGACACTGCGGCTACTTGACGTATCACGATGCCACACATCCTTGAGAACGTCAAAAGTAGTGATTAGCAGGGTCTCAAGCACATCAGTTGGAACGCGGGTAGCCGCCACTGAAAGCCATGCCATCAGCTCAGTCTGAAGAAGTGCGTCGGCATTTTTGAACCATCCGCTAGAAAGTAACTCGCCAGCAATAAGTTCGTCACAGCTGCCTTGCGTAGCAGCGAAGCGAACGCATGCTACACTTACATCGACAGAACACATGCGCAGCATTATACGATGTGTTAATGACGCATAGTCCAGCAATGGTAGTACAGCTCCCGTCGATGTTAGACAGCCTAGCAGTGATATTGCTATGCGAGCTTCTGGGTTCGATCTAGTCATCACTGCGTCGTGAGAGGAATCATGGTCGGATGGACTCGTTTGCCGCAGCCACTCGAGCGTTTTCACTAGCAATCTATTTGATGGAAGAGTGCGAAGCTCGACGTCGAACGACTTTTTCTTTTGGGAAACGTAAAATCTATCGGCTGCGCGAGCAATAGCACCGAGCATTGCATTTGCAATAGCACAATGCCCTTCCTTCTTCGTGAACTCTCGAGCTAGATTTACCAGTGAGGCAATGATGTCAAAATCAAGTGTCAGCTCTACATTGACACCGACGTTCGGAGTTGCTGCGCTAGAAATGCCGACACTCAGATGGAAGAAGTTGGCGATACTAGATAGCATCAGCGTGTGCACTGCCTGATCTGGCACACTTTCACTTTCAAGAGTCTTTTTGATTTGTTTGACTGTCAGATTGGTTTGATTTTGAATCGTGCTAGGAAAGCCTCCAAAAGACTTCAAGCGACACAACACGTTCGCTGCTGCCATCATCAGAAAGCCGCTGTCGAGGCTGGCAGCACCACATTCTGCAGCTCGATGATTGCATGTTGCAACAAACGTCTCCAAACTTGATGAGGGTGTCAAGTTGAATTGCACGCACTGCAGCAACACGGGTCCCAATGCGACAGCTGTAATGTTGGCAGAATCTTTATCTTTCCATACTGCTGTAAGAAATCTTTGCAGGTTCATTAGCCAGTCTAAACGTTTAATCCTCGAGAAGCCACTGGATATTCGTGCTAGCCCCATCAATGACGTCCAACGCAATAAAATACCACTGGATGATAAAGCTTGCTCAAATTTTGATGTAACTGTATCAATAGAAGTGTTCACTTCAGTCGCCTCGGACAGAGGGAAAATCACGTCTCCATGGAATAGAGAAGACTTGGTCGATTGCTTCACATGGTTGGTACGCAGGAACGACTCCAGAACACACTTAGCAATTGGCTTAACTCGTTGGTGTCTCCACTGAGTTACGTCAAATGGTTCCAGCTCGTAGCCATTCGTATAAAGAAAAGCAATGTGGCTCAATCCTAGTAGAGCACAGGAACTTAATAGGTCACCCGTCTCGTTGTGATACAGCTCCATAAACATGCTCTCAATCTTTTCCAATTGAACGCAAAAGTTACTACAGCGCTCGATTTTCCGTTGGCCAAAAGAAAGCTGAAGAGCAGCTGAAACGCCGAGAGATGAAACGCGAGCATTGCCGTTGGAGGCCGAGAATACACGAGCCTGTTCGATCGACAATGATAGTCGGAGCAATAGCTCCTCTATTATTTCTTCGTACTTCTGACGCAAATGCGGATTATCCCAATGTCTTGATTCACAAAGTTTTCCAGCCAACGCACCAGCAGCCAGTGCACCCCCTACCTTGTTCGATGTATCATTCAACAGCAAGTCAAACAAGCTAGTAACACCCTCCGAAAATACACGAAAGGCGACATCGGCGTCATCAACACCAATAGGCGTCTTGAGCTCCGACAGTTCGTCCAGCGAAAATATATATGTCTCCATGAACCCTCTCCATCCATCCATCAAAGCTTGAATACGTAAGAACACCCTGTAGCTTCTATCAGCATTTGTTGATGCATCTACAGAAGCCCACGGAAGTTCCATAGACTGCAGCACAGTCGAGACCGTCCCCACCAGCTCGTCCACATTTTGCGTTGCAAGGCGAACGAGCTTGTCTTTGCGCTTAGCGTTTTTTCTGTCAATCAAAGCCTTTGGTTGATAAGTCAGCAAAAACCCGCTCCAGTCAGGTGTAGTGGAGTTTGTAGGAAACAGACTCTCCACCTCCGCTCTTGACGGTAAAAGTAATTTCATCTCCTTGGTGGCCGCAGCAGAAATACACGCAACTGACCCCGCTTGCTGGAACGTCTGTTGCTGTTGACGCTGGACCCCTGACGCTGCAGACACCATTCGCTGTCCTCGTCCGACACCTGCAGTAAGCTTTGTGCTCTCATGCTCAATAACTCTCGTTATCAGCATTTCGATCTCGACGCGGACATCTAAATCGTGCTCTTTTTGAAGACGCTCCATCAGCTCATCGAGTTGTTCCTCAACTTCCTCTGCCGTCGCACCGTCTTCGTCGTCACTCTTCTGTCCAGCAATTTCATCATTCGGCATACAGAGCCCTAGCATATTCAAAGGATATTTGCACAACGCGTCGTAAGCAGACTTCCGAACATTTGCATGTTCACTGTCTGCAAACTCCCAAGCCTGGTCGAGCAACTTTGAAGCATGTTTTTCGTTCGCAGCGCTGTCAATGCCACCAAGTGCGTAAAAGCAGCACAAGCGTTCCTGAAAAAGCGGTCTGTCTGCACAAGTTACCGTATGCTTGCGCAATTTTTGGGCAATTATCTTGAATGCAACGTAAAAGTCCAAACAGTCTCCTTTACACAGCGCAGTGATAGCAGCCATGGCCATGGAAACCACCGACTCCAGCTCATCTTCAAGAAATCCTTGTATGGATGAAATGAACTGCACGCCCAGCTCGGGGTCTTTCTCACACAACGTTTTGATGGAAGCTATCCTTACAACGTGGCGCGCAATATCTTCGCCTGGAAAGGTTGGTTCTAGTAACATTGTCTCGAGCCTTGGAAAGGCTCGAGACTCGTTTCGCCACACTTCATACATGAGCTTCAGCGCCATCGATCGCGTCTTTGCCATACCGTTCATGCTATCGATTAGACGAAGTACGATACGCATTGTCTCGGTTGTTGTAGCAGCCAGCGCTGCTAAAGAATACAAGCACGAGGTCATCCATTCACCAAAGAGACGTCCTGAGACCACCTCGGCCTTTCCTGACGGTTGCTGAGAAACGAGAAACACCAAACTTGCCACCAATGCTTTCGTGGCGTCGGCATTCCAAAACTTTGGGCTATTGTTCACTTGACGCCCCAGACACTCAGTAGCAGCACTGCGAAGAGCAGGTCGTCCATCAGAAAGCAGCGCCACCAACAGCAGCGGTAACCAATTATCTGTCGAGTTGTTGGATATAACGTCTTTAGAAGAAAACAACGAACTTAGCCAACGTTGGCATCTTCCTTCATCACCAATCATCTGAATACCCGAATGAGCATGAGTTGCTGTCTCTGTTAATGGTGCATCGCTCGTTACCTCATTCTCATAATAATAATTGCTCGTCGACATGATCTTCTTCACCATTTTAAGTAAATCAGACACGACGCTGCCATGCACTGAAAGCATTGCCGACAACGGCAACAGCAAAATCTCCACGTAGACCGTACGTCTACCACCGTGATCAGCAACGACATCACGTCCAAATATCAGTGCATACTGCAGCACCCGTAGTATCAACTGCTGCTCGAGTGGTGTCTCGCACGCGCTTATCAAAAAGTACGCAGCCGATGCTAAAAAAATAGATGACCACAAAGCTTTGGGTACTGCTCGAGCCAATTGTTCCAATGACTGCAACAAAGTCACAACACCAACGTTCGTTTCAATCAATAATTGCGTCGACTCGAGCACGAAACGTGCCGTTCTGGTCGCCAAAGCCACGTGCTCGGTATTGTAGACATTTTGAGAGCTTAAAACGTCCACCAACACTGCCACATGGACATTATAAGTGGACTGTGAGAGTTGGTCATGTGGGACGAGCTCCAGTGCTTGTACTAGAAGACGGACAACATGTGTCCACCTTGTACTCTTCTTCTTCTTCTTCGTGTCCTTGTCGTCCATGTGTCCATCCAAGTGCCACGCAATGCGAGACAGAACGTCCAACACTGCAGCTTTGTGTCCTTCTGACTGTAAATTGTCCATGAGGACACTTTGGAGGACAGGGGACAATATGTCCACTGTCTTGGTGGATTGTTGAGTGTCCACATAACTATTCAAAAAAGGTCCATCTCCCGTGCCAACAGCTGCTAAATATCCCAATAACACGTTTTTGTTTGCATGAAATACCTGAAGTAACATTTGACGCTGGAAAGAGACGTGGCTTGGTTCTAATATTTGGATACTCGTCTGAAGTAACACAAACCCGAGATATTCGGCCTTGCTCGAGGGTTCGGTACAAACGGCTGCAGCTTGTTGCAATATTTCATACAAATTTACAGATGATTGGGAATCTTGTTGTAAGCCTTAAGTAACATGAAAGGAGTATACAGCATCGTCAGAGAATGAATGTGTATACACGTGGAAGCAGCAGTGTTATGCGCACCAAAGACCAGATTTTGCGATTCTTTTAGCGAGGAAGTGGAGATGAGACGGTCAACGATCTGTTCCGTTGCGCTTGAGACTGCAGCGGGGGTCGTGGCCTGTCGTAGCGCTTTCAGCAGCGTGGATACCGTTGGCGTCGCGACTGCCATTTGGATTTTTGAACATATAAATACGGACATTTGGTCGCTTTTTTTATAATATTTTAAGATTGCTAAGTTGTTTTAACGTATAAAACGTGTGAGCGTTGATAGTGTTAAATTGCTAAAACGAATTGTAAAATAAGCTTGTTCTATGTAACAGCGTAAGATCTCCTGTAAGAAATTCTTTTCTTCATTTAAACGATAAAACTTGGATTTGTTGTACCCGTCTATAAATTTTATAAGGTAAGTCTACTTTAGTACGTCATTGAATTTGGAATTATCCCTTCCTAATCCTACTGTCTACTTATACAAATGCATTACGGAGTAGCAGTAGTACTTCGAATGAAATTTACAAAGCAATTAGCATGTTATCTATCACCCACTACTTCGAAGTATTACTACCTACATCCCCAGCTATAAATCTCTATACGTTGTACAGACGTATGAAATGTATGTCACCAAGGTTTAAACCAGAGTGTATATTCACTAGTTTATCCTTTTAACTCGATCAACCGAACAGTACACGACGCATAAGGTCAGCAAACTGGGATCCTGACATCTCGTCCTCGCCTTTAATGGTGGCTCGTAGTGTGCGGTTTGCCTTCTCTACGAGTGTCTCGGACATGAAGTAACGGCCCTGCGTGTCTTGAGCGTAAAAAAAGAATTTGTACTGCGGACCCACGTCACCTGAAGCCATCGTCACGATGCCACGCAATGCAAATGCCTGCTCCAGCTCGTCTTGCGGAGGCAAAACTGGCAGCTGAACCACTACCTCAGCCACCACAGCTCTGCTGCTCCATTGACCCTGAAACGTAGGAGCGTCCATGACTGGCGTCGGGACCAGCGCGAAAGCGGGGCCTGCTATCTGAGGCGGAGCGATAACTGGAGCAGAGCCGAAATCCATGTCCAGCAGGTCCATGCTGGGTGCTGCTGGCTGCGAAGACGGCGCCAAGTTATGCTGCTGCTGTTGATGTTGTTGCTGCGGAAGAGCACTATCGTCGCAGGTTTCGTCTTCCTTGTCTTCCTCTTCTTCTTCTTCTTCTTCATCTTCAAGAGGCGCAGCCGTGCCAGCCAAGTGCGAAGCTGACACAAAGAGCTCGCTGGGTTTGTTGTATACCACAGCAAGCGAGTTGAACTCCTGGAACAACTTGTCCTCAAGGTCCGTCTCGATAGACTCCGCAAACACGCGAACCGTCTCTTCCGTGCAAAATTGTGCCACAATTGCGGCCGCCTGTTCTGTTGGTTGCTGCCCAAGCAGACGGTAGTAGAGTAGAGCACGATCACGCACGTCTTGGTGGTTTGAATCGTTAATGGCAGAACTAAGCAGTCGTCCCAGCATACTTTGCATCTCAGGAGGACGCTTGAAGAACAGCTTCATCGTCGCCGCAAGCAGCTCGAGCAGCACGGACGGGGCGGCCTCGCTACTAAAGTCATCGATAAGCTTCTCCAGTACGTACGGTGCGCGACGAAGATCCTGGCCGAACTCACCAAGCATCCACACAACTGCAGCTTTGGCAGTCGGCTGCTCCACTGCGGCGACAATACGAGCCAACACGGGTAAAACGTCGTGGCGCTTCTCTGGGTACTTGCGGAGCAAGTCTTTCATTACTACAAGACTTTCATCGCGCACATAATCGAGGTCCAGTTCCAGGAAGTCCACCATCGTGTCCATAATGTGATCTTGCATCTGTTCCATAAGCTGTTGGGCCGCCTGCTGACCGTAGGCCTCCGGCACATTGCTTCCGCCCGGGTACTGATGTAGCACCGTGTTTACGGACAAGTTGGGGCTCACAGCTACGCCGGCAATCGCATGAATCGCGCGGCGAGCCAGCTCCTGGTCTACGTCCGTTACGTACTCACTCAGCTCCGTGACAATGTCAGCCACGTTGGCACCATCAGCGACTAGAGCCAAGATGTCGATCTTGACATACTTGACGTGCGTAGGCTCGTTGTACCGGTTGTAAAATTGACGGTAGTCGCGGCTAAACACTTGCGGTTTCTTCCCCACCAGAAGCAAAATATGGTGTAGCACGCAGTAATTAATCTCGTGACTGCCACCTGCCATCAAAGTGAGCAGAGGTTGGCGCATCCGCTCAAACACTTGATCCTGAATCTGTTCCATCCCCCGAGCTTGAGTGAGATTGAAAAAACACTTGGCCGTGCCTAACACGACAGCACTGCTCGAGACACGCAGACACTGCTCCAGTGTATTCATAATCGTAAAAACCTCATCTGGTCCAGCAGGTTTATACTTTGCCACAATCTGAAGAATATTACACTGTCCCCACTCATTAAAATCCGAGATACGACTCAACAAGTGCATTACAATTGGTTGATTAATAGCAATGCCACCTTCGTCCGTCATGATCTCGTTTAGAGCCACCAAACAATTAGAAACCACTTGTGGATCACGATCACGAATCATATTATACAACGTATCGATCATATCACTTTCCTTGATGATCTCTGGATTGAGCGAATAGACCTTCAAAATGCCAATGACGCCTGTCTTCCGGACGTACGCGCTCGTGTCCGTAAGTGATGCCTGTAATGGGTCGTGAATGTACTCAAGGATGGAATCCAGACGTAATGAACATAGCGACCGTAGTGCAAGACCACGCACCATTGGGTCTTCATTGCGACAATCATTGAGCAACGTATTGATGCACATAATAGCCAGTTCTGAGTTCTTTTGGGCATAATTTGTGAGGTAGAGATACACCATTTTCTTTGAAATCAGGTCCTTTGTGTCGACACATAGTACCATCTCACTAAAGAGACGAGAAACGTCAATGCCTAGGGTCATATAAGCAATGACTTTCTTAATGATCTCACGCTTGCGCTTGACATCCTTTTCCACGGTCACTTCACGAAGTAGCTACAATAATAAACACATCATGGTAATTAATATTAATAGTTGTATAAACTATAGGAGGTGAGTTTCAACTATTAACTTTGAGAATTTTGACAGACGTTCTTAAGTTCGTTCACTTCACCCTTCTTCTTGTCGGTAAAGTAGTTCAAATTGCTACTACCCGCAGGCCGCTGGAGACCAGGAGCTCCTCCAGGAGGAGGCATACTACCCGGAGGAGGTCCCTGTGGTGGGTAAGAAGGGTTCATCTTAGCTAGTGCAGAGGAAAACGTTTAGCTGCTGGCGATGGGGCTACGCGGCAAATCGGCAAAAGTGTGTAGATTATGTACGTGACATATATTCATGTAGCTTACGTCATGCACAAGCACCACCTACAATACCGGTATTTGAAACTCATTCTGTCATGTCAGATTATTGAATCGAATCTATTTCTAGATTTTCACCTTCTAAAAACCGATATGGATGAACGGCTACATGAAGTACCAATATGACACAAATGGTATCGAGACGAAGGCTTCCAGTATCTCTCATCGTTGCTTGCTCCGTGAACCGCGTGATTGGTAAACAAGGTAAATTACCGTGGAACTTACCAGCTGACTGGGCATTCTTTACTTCGATTACGAAAAACCAAGTGCTGATTGTTGGACGACGGTCGTTCGAAGAATTTGACGAGCCGATTCCGAATCGCCATACAATCATTGTGTCTTCAACGCTAAAGCGGCCAACACGAGCTGGAGTAGTTGGTGGTCAATGGTCAGGAGCTCAAGTAGCTGGGACACTGGAGCAGGCACTTCAATTGGCAAACTCAGACCCACAGTATCGGGATTGCAGCCACATTTTTATTGGCGGTGGTGAAAAGTTATACAAGGAAGCAATGACTGCTAATGTCGCGGAATCATGCTACGTCACGAGATTGCACCAAGTGATTAATGATGGTGACAGGTTTTTTCCAAAGTGGACAATGCAGTTTACGAATCTGAGGTTCTCGGCAAAAACAAACGGAGGAGGGAAAACGAGGTGAGCAACTGACTCAATTGATTTTCAAGAATATTATGTTCACATACTAAGAACTTGTGCATGGTTTTCTTCTTTACAGAGTAAGCTTTGAGATATGGAGAAGATAGATGACATGACGTGACTAGAGAAAGTTGTAAAGCTGCACGAGTTTGCAGATAACGCAGAATATGCCTGAGGGTGGTGACTACGAACAGTTGAGGTCTAGTATACTGCCGACTTGGTAGTGGTTAGCTACAAGTGCAGAAGCAAAGGTTACGAGGATTGCTTCCTGTTAATGAGTTTGTTTTGTTTTTGATGTAATGTCAAGGTCAAATGTTTCGTCTTCGAGACGCAAAGAATGTAGTTGTTTCTTGTTCGCGGCAAGTGAACCTTTTGCATGATTTCACGTGCCTTTGTTGTCAATGACTTTACTTTTGATATTCGTGGCTTTGTATTGCGAGCTGGCCACACCTAAATACAAGTATTATGGTCGCTGCTCTCTTATACTACAGTGTGCTACAGGCTTACATACTTACTATCCGACATGCCTGCTACCTAGAATTCAATAATCGCTGCTGTTGTTGTTGTTTGCTGCTGCTGTTGCTGCTGCTGTTGTTGCTCTTGCTGGCTTGTTACAGATCCTGTTCCGGTACCTGGGCTGCGTGTAGGTGCATGCTGCTCCACGATCAGCATTTCAGGACGCTTCGCCGTGGTGACATGGGTGGCAGGACTACCGCTCGTTCGCGATGGATGTTGCTGTGATTGAGGCACAACTCGTGACGATTCATCTGGTCGCACAAGATCTGGTCTCAGCAATGTTGGGCCTGGAGGTGGAGGAAGCAGACTCATGCGAGACGAGCCGGCAGGAGACGAGTTGCGACTCATTGCAGCAGAAAACATTCCCATCGACATTGGGAACCCTGCTAAGCTCTTGCCACCAACAGGAGATCTAATAGCAGCAGATGAAGCGTGAGGAGCCGTCGTAGCGACTGTTTTTGCAGCTGTTGCGGGGTACGGCACCGCTTCGAGAAGCCGTTTCGTGAGCTGTAACGATGGCAAATCCTTGTTCACGAGGTACACAAACTTCAGGTCTTGGAATCTCTCCGACGTCGGGTAGATTAGGGAGCGTAGCAAATGCGCCGAGTCTCGCGTCAACATCCCTTCTTCTTCTAGACGACAAAAGCGAAGGTACATTTCCTTGCGAATGCTGAAGTGCAGATCCACAAATGGGTTCATCTGGATGCGGTCGCGAGTCTGTGGCGACTGATTCATGTCTGAAACAGCCAGATTTCCGAATCCTCCGGATGATGCTGTTCGCCCCGGTGTAGTGCTCGATGCACACCCCGTAGACGCGTCCATCTTCGGAAACTTGCTTGCACTAGCTTTGAATTCTCGACCCAAAGGACGCTTCTCGCGCTTTGGTTTTACTGGTACAGCGCCTTCGTCGATCTCCTGCGCTGCCACTTCACGTAGGATGTCGAACGCGCTCAGGCCACGACAAGTCTGGCTCTGCTTTGTCCTTCGTGCTGCCGCTGATTTTGCTAGTTTTGTCGATACTTCCTTCCGACCTGCCTGAGCAGGCTTGCCATCCAGCGCCGGACGCGGATACAGCGAGAAATGTCCGTTCTTTTGCTCCATCTTCACGTATACCTGAAAGTTGGTCTGCATTGCCACCGCCGGCTTCGACGACGAAGCATATGTGTTATCTGCCGGGCTCAGCATAGGCAGTGAAGTCACCGTGGGCTTGAATGTCTTAATTGATGTCTCATTCGATGGTGGACTGTTCAAAAGCGACATTACAGTGTTGCACGATGAATACCGATTCGAGTGCTCCGGAGCAGCGGTTTGAGACGTCACCACCAGCTTCCTCTCGTGCGGGTCCGCATCCGACTCGCCCACGGCATGCTTGTCATTTGCACCAACCGTAGCGGCTACCTCAAAAGGCGAACTGTCTGCCTCAGTCACTACCTTAACCGTGTGCTCTGGAGACGCATGCATTATAACTGAAGTCTTCCCAGCCACAACAGCATTTGTATTCACTGCAGGCAACTTTGGCACCTTCGCGTTGACTTTAGCAACCACTTCCGTCGTAGGCGCACGCACTATGGATGAGTCTGCTTTTGCTTCTGACGGTGCTGACCCGGCGAGGTGTAACGCGGCATCAGCACTTGCAAACTCCTTCCTTGCGAGTGACACAACAGTTTCTAAGTCAGACGCCGCACTCACAGCACTCTTCGCAGTTCTTTCATTCTCCTTCGCCTGCGTTCTCCTCACTGAAGACTCGCCAGCTTCGGGTAATATTCGCTTCTTTTTGCTCGGTGCTTTTGTGATTTTGCCTTTCTCCTTTCTCACATTGCTGTCGTTTTCCTTTTTCTTTTCCATATCGTCGTCATCATCATCCCTCACCACAACCGCTTTATTAGATTTCTTAGTCTTCACAACCGCCACAATAGTTCTCTCGCTCTCTTTCGGTGACGTTGTTTTCTTTGTAGCTTTTGCAGTTGCAATACTTGTAAAACCACACCCCATCTTTGCCTTCAGTACTGCTCGACTGCCGTTATGGAACGCACGTGCATCATCAATACATCGTGGACACACATACGTCGAGTCTTTCCACCTTCCCGAGCTCTTGATCGGTGGCAAACAGCCAATATGAAACCAATTATTGCAGCAATCACACGCCAGACTTTCATTAATGTGCTCATCATCCATCGCATACCAATCATCAAACGATTTACTCCACCGTGTAAAGTGAATCTTAATTCGCTCACCCTTAGTATCCACTTCAGTAATCAGAGCATTATACAGCACCTCGTCATTGTCCACAAGCACTGCTTGATTCACTTTAAATCCCGTAGCAACGCTCACGTCATCTATTTCCTTTCCCATTGAAGCAAAAGGCAGTCGACATCTCCCACATCGTGATCCCACATCTTCTTCCCCTTTTGTCTCTTCGTCGTCCGTATTGTGACCTTCACTCTGCTCTGCTTCACATTTATGGCAACAGAAACCATTCGGATTCTCTACATCTTCCTTCTGTAATTTGGCACATTTTATATGAAAACCCTTGCCACACCATTCACAGAAATGGTCACAACTCATACGTGTGCACTGGACACAGGGTCGTTGGGACCGTCGAAAGGCTACAAAGTCACAAATTTGACAGTCTGTAAACGCCACATTCTTTTTACCCAATGGCCACGTCTTGGCCACACCATCCAATAGCATATTATTCCCGCATTTGTCGCATTCACGAGGACTAGGCATTGAGGTACCGCCCGAGGAAGACGTAGCTGACAGTACGGGGCTGCTACTGTCTGCACTGAGCCCTTCGGACTTCTTGCGTCGCTTCTGTGGTGCACCACCCGTCTTTGTTTTGAGATTGCGTCCCATACAGAATGATGGTCTTCTTTCCCTTTACACGTGACTCGGTGGTTTTTGGAAGTGACTGAGATCCTCCCCCGAACCCGCGCACGACGAAGGCCAGGTTTTCGATCGCCTGGTTTTTGTACACGCACAACCTTCGCGCTACCTCTTCATGAGATTTGACCTGTGACATCTATTTAAAGAAAACGGAAAGTTTTGACAAATGATGGTTCTATCATTTCGTCAAAACGCTGATAATTCGGTTTCATACAAAAATTGATGGTCGGCAACAGATGTCTGCTCATGATAAGCACTGCGTGCGATGTAGCGAATATCCGGACAAGCATAAGCCACCATCACAAGCTTTGCATTGGAAGCCCTCTAGTCGGTACTTCATATAAGACGCGTCAATCGATTAGATAGAGTGCTCCGGCTACACCGATTCCCGTGACATTTACAGCGTCAACAACACAGTCGATATAACTGTTTAAAGGTATATTCCTACATGTGGTCCCTACGATACTGTAGTGAGTGATTTGAAACAGCAATTTTTTACGAGTCAACGTTTGACAAAATAACAAAACAATGCCGTCATTTGATACACGCGTTCAAAAGGGCCTTCTCAGCCAATCACAACACGAGAAAATGCGAGACGGCTACAGTCGCCTGATTCTGTCCACCTGACTCCAAGGTGGACCACCTTAGGTGCAAGCCGCAGTGTCGGAGAACCCTCATCGCTTCATATTACACATGCTCAACACGCGCGACATGCTCGGTCGATAAAACAGGTCGTGTACAGCAATGGAGTATTTTTTACGTTTCATCCTCATTTGATCCTGCCGCGCGGTACTTCATTGACACGGACGAGGCAGCTGCCACGTCACCGCGTCATGGCAGATCGTCCAGGACAAGAAATTTCTCAAGGATTTAGTAAATAAGTTTACTTGTTTCAAAGTTCAATATAAATTTTTCAAGGTTATCAATTATGTGTCGCTTTTGTTTCATCTTGTCCAAATCATGGTAGTTTCAAATGTTGACGCAACTAAAACATAGCGATTGTAAGAATCTTTAAACGACGCAAAGAAAATAAGATGCAGCGACTTGTGCAGCGTGACAAGGAAATGTCCGTAATGAGCAAGAGACAAGAGAACAAAGATACAGTCGATGACGAAATTGATGACGATCTGTCGCTCGAGGGGTTGGAATTAGCCACGATGGAGAAGCAGCTGTCGCAAACACCAATAAAATTGGCGTCTCTTCCAGCAAAACGGGCGGTGCTAGCGCTTGAGGGCAGCCCAGGAAAGTATTGCACGTCTGCTCGCTGTATTAATCTGCACTCGCACGATTCACGAAGTCATAAGATCAATGGCTTCACGGAGACGAAGATTGGCGGCCACATGCTGGATTACAAACGTCCGTTCTGTTATGACTGGCAGCAACAGCTTCATGGGCCATTAACGACCTCTGTATGGAGCGCAATGGGCTTTCTTGGAGATTTTCTTACTGATTCGGTAGTAGCACTTACCGTGCCGTCGTCACAGGCCAGAACATCATTGGCTTATTCGGCACCAAAGCCTGAAGTGTTGGTGTACTCGGCCGTTAAAATTGGAGGCCATCCATTGGACCACGTGCCGTTCCGATGTCGCGGGTTACCGTCTAGGCCGTTGCTGGGCTATATCCCTGAGACTACGAGGCAAGAGATGTCACCACCGTTCCAGACGTCAGGTCTTTCGTCCACGGCGGTGACGTACAAGATTGCACCGAATGTGACGAACTTGTATGACTGCAGCCGTTGTTTCAGGCTACGGCAGACACCACGAGTACAGCTTTGTTGTGGACATCCTGTGTGCGCCAAGTGCGTATCTTCATGCACGATGAAACGTGTAGAGTACAGCGGGACGTGTTTTCTGGAGTGTTCACGCTGCAACGACATGGTGGCCGTTGAAGCTGTTGCATTTACCAACTATATTATACGAATGAAACCAGTTTCAGCTGGCACGGTATCTATGCTTGAGACGCAAGAGGCACATGATATGTCGACATCATTGACAGGTGCTTGGAAACAGGGAGGCGTTCTTGCGGCGCTGTCTTTTATCGCTGGGAGATTCGTCTCTTCGAGTAAAAGTTTAAGTAAAGCTCGACGGAAAAAGCTGGATACTGTTGAGGATGCCAAAAGGCTGATAGCGGAGGTATTGCCAGATAAAGCAGAAGAACTGCTAGTGGATGGAGTTGCAGCTCTGTCGAAGGAAGCAGATAAAGTCGATGTGAGTATTGCAAAGGGCCCTGAGCGATGGATTAAACGCGTACAAGGTCTGCAACCGCCGTCTAAACTACTGAAGTATTCTTTTCTGCGCACGTTGGGTGTTGGGAACTTTGCTGAGGTGATGCTTGTGGAGAATCGCAAGGGGAAATTTACTGTACTCAAAGAAAGTGACAAGCTGTCTGAAGCTGCGAATGAAATCAGTATGTTGTCCCGTGTGCGAAGTCCTCACGTGGTGCAGATCCAACAGTACTTTATTGAGGAAATCGGGCACCGCCACTTTGTGTACATCGAGATGGAGTACTGCGACGGTGGTGATCTGCGGCAAATGCTTGAAGCAAAGGTGAGTTTATTGTATAGGAAAAGCATAGGGTCAGAATAGCGTTCTAACGGTTTCAGTGGCTTGGTTTGTTGGTATCTAGGGACGACTGGAGGCAGACACCTTTGACTCGATGTTTCGCCAGTTGTGTCTCGGCTTGAAAGAAATCCACCGCCACGGAATTGTTCACCGAGACTTGAAACCAGGCAATGTGTTGTTAATGGTATGTCTTGCTTCAAGTACATGTCGCATCGCGAACTTCATCGATACTCAAGCTGATGTTATTGTGTCCTTGTAGAGCGATGGCACAACAAAGATCGCTGACTTTGGTGTATCGACGTACTTGGAAAGCGATCTACTGACGCATCATGCTGCTGGTACCCTAGCATTCATGGCACCGGAGATTCGACGATATTTTCTGGGAGAAGTTGTGAGTTACGACTCCAAGGCAGACATATGGTCCCTAGGTGCTTTAGCTATAGCCATGCTAACGGGTAACCCAGAGCCGCGTGTGGCCACTCGTCCAGGTAATCAGTCTCATGTTTCGTTTGAAACTTCTGAATTGTGGCTAATCTTGTTTACATTTTTTCAGTTGAAGAGCTTCTAGAAGAGTTGAAAGAGCAATCACTAGATGAGAAGTACACAATGTTGGTAGAAGGTATGCTTGCTATGCACCCGGCAGATCGGATATCACTCGAAACCCTGCTCACAGCATTCCCTGCAATGAGTTCTCGGTTGTAATTCTATATCTGTCATGAATGACGTTAGTTGAGCTAGTGCGGCCAAAAACTGTAGCATATATTTATTGTATCAAACTACGAAGAAAGCATGCATAAGTCTATCAAAGAAAAACTTTCTCCCAGGATCACCTCTAGTTAGCCTCGAGAATAGCTTCAATCCACTCGAGAGCCTTGGCACTCTCCTCATCGTTGATGTAGTCAGCCAGAGCTTTATTCAGCAGCTTAAATTGCCGGTCAGATGCCGTTATGAGTTTCTTCTTCAACAACTTCCTAGTTGTATCATCAATCACCTTCTTCTCCGACAACAAATCAAATGCTTTAAAGACCGTGTCAATGTCCTCTACCATTTGAGCTACATCCCCAGATACCACCTCGTCCCCTTCGCTCTCGGTGGATCCATTGCTTTCCACGTGCTGCTTCTTGGCAAGAGGCAGATCTACTCCAGTACTGCCAAAGCCACCAGCACCACGTACTGTCTCCTCGATCTCGTCCACCTCTAAAATCTCTGGGTACTCGATCTTTTCAAGAATAAGCTGTGCCACTCGATCCCCACATTTAATTGGGAAGTCATCACTTGAGTGATTGAATAGGATCACACCCAGATTACCACGATAGTCGGCATCAATGACACCAGCCCCAGTATCAATAGATTTAATCAGTGCAAGACCGGAGCGAGGCGCGACGCGGGCGTAGCAGCCATCGGGTACAGCAATGATCAGATCCGTCTTGACCAGTCCCTTACCATTTGCTGGGATGACGGCGTCGTAGGCAGCCGAGAGGTCCAGACCCGCCGCAAGCTCCGAGCCGCGAGTGGGTAAAATGGCGTTGGGTGTCATCTTTTTGATGCGGAGGATAGGAGCAGAGCGATTGCGTTTAGTTGACATGGTGGAGAGAGATGTTAGGACGCGGAAGGAAAGATGAGATGTGTGGAATTGGCTCAGCATGATGCACGACGTTTGGCTCGTATTTTGGCGCCAAAATAAAGAGATCAGAGGCTTTGGAATCAGATCGCTTGTCACTCCGATTTAGCTAAACCTTATAAAAAAGAGTTACAGTACAAATTATAATTATACTGTAGCCATGTGACGCTGCGTAACCTATACCCATCATGATGAATACAACATTTTTTGGTTGGTCATCAAGATGGCGATCGACATCAAGACGAAACCGTCCCTGGACGTGTTCAAGCAGAGCTTTCGCGAGTATTTGGTACTGTACGACCGATTGCAATTGTATGATTTAAACGAGGTGTAAATCTCACTTATGAGTTTTCAATTTTCTTCTTACAGCGTGAGACTGATGCAGTAAAGAACGAGACGGAACTCGAGCAGCTCATGCAGCTGTTACACGAGCCTCTACCTATCTCATTTCGTCTCAATTTACATCGTCCTGACGTTGCAAAGTACGTGTAATTTCATCATTTGTCATCGATCAATCATGGGTACATGAATTTAGTAAACAAAAATGTACCCATCTTACAGACTCAAGACATTACTGGCCACGAAACTTCAATTTCCAAGTGACAAGTATTTTCATGGCAAAATTCCTGTAAACCCGCCCAAGTGCGTGTTGTTGCAGTAGTAAACATGATTTTATTCCCATCAATTGATGACGATATTTTTCTAGGCCCATTACGTGGTATCCGTTCAAGAACGTGGCATGGCAAATGGACTGTGGACGTGTTGCGCTCTCAAAAAGTGGTGAGTTGCTATGTAATTGCTGTAAATGAGGTCTGAGAAGGTGTGATTGATAAGATGGAGGATATGTTGTTGATCAGCACCGAAAAACGAGGACGTGCGTACATTCCACTCGTGTTTGCTGGAGCAGACAGATCGTGGAAATATTGACCGTCAAGAGGCGGTGAGCATGCTGCCTGTACTTTTCCTGGATGTGCATCGAGGTCACCATGTGTTAGACATGTGTGCTTCTCCGGGCTCAAAGACGACCCAGGTTCTCGACTTCATATTATCATCGGAAAACAGTTGTAGTGAAAAGCAGAGTGGTCTGGTGGTTGCCAATGACCTTGACAAGAAACGCGCGTATATGCTGGTGCACCGCCTTTCGAGGAACACACTACGTCGCGCTGTGGTGACTTGTGGTGCGGGTGACACATTCCCGGGGCTTTACGATGCTCAATCAAAGACGCTGCAATCTACGAATGTGTTCGATCGTGTATTGTGTGACGTCCCTTGCAGTGGTGACGGCACGCTACGCAAAAATCAGGCTTTGTGGAAGGACTGGCACATTGGTCAAGGTCTCACGCTGCACCCGATTCAGCTAGCGTTGGCCCTTCGCGGCGCAGCGCTGCTCAAGGTTGGTGGCATCATGGTCTACTCAACGTGTTCGTTTAATCCATTAGAAAATGAGGCTATTGTAGCGGAACTGCTACGTCGTGCTGGGGGATCGCTGGTGCTGCTGGATGTTTCAAAAACGATGCCGGAGCTTGTCACCCGTCCTGGTCGGTCAAAGTGGCGTGTGGGTTGGCGCTCAAAGTCCAAGTCTACTCACAAGGGCCACCTGTTCAAGAGCGACGACGGTGACAAGAACGGCAAAACTCAAAACTTGCACCAGTGGTTTGACAGCTACGACGCCATGGTGCAAGATCTCCGCGGTACGCGAGTGACACGATCAATGTTCCCGTCTGAAGGCAGTATTGGTCAGGAGCTGCACAAGACATTACGCCTGATCCCGACTGACCAGAACTCGGGTGGTTTTTTTATCGCTGTGCTACACAAGACGGCAGATTTGCCCGGCGAAGAGGGCCGCCAGGAAGGCCTTGCCCCATTAGAAGAATTGCAGTCAACACCACCCGCTGACTATGTTTGCAAGCTGTGTGGCAAAAGAGGGCATTTTCTGAAAAACTGTGAAAAGTTTGTATCCGATACGGAATTTGTTGCGTCGAGCTCGTTTCTGAAGCCACAGAAGAAGCGCCGTACTGATGAGTCGGCAGACACAGCAAGTGTTGCAAAGAAAAAGATTGCAAAGAAGCGCGAGACGGGTTATCGCGCTGTTGGAGACGATGTATGGCAGCAATTACGAAATTTCTATGGCTTAGAGGATGCAACCTTGAGGGTACGAGAATGGGTATGGCTTATGTGGATATGATGACAGTATTCTAACACTGGCAATCTTTGTGTGCGTGTTATCAGGAGCGCTTCTGGTGCCGCTCTGACACAGCTGCGACCGTAAATTATGTGGACAAGGAAATCTCTGACGCCTGCTTGGGTGGTGATGCCTTAGATGTAGGTGCTTTTTTGCGCCCACCTGCACGTTACTGGTTTACTAACTCCAGTGTCTGTGGTAGATCGTCAACACGGGTCTAAAGGTATTCACCAAAGTTACTGAGCGTGGAGAGGTTTTCTACCGTCCCTCGGAGGAGAGTCTTGGCTTCTTCGACAACTTCTTTACCAAGCGGCGACTAGACATCCCTATTGACGACTTTTCCAGTATTCTCGAAAATGCAGAGCAGCATGTGACTTTCAGTTCGCTGTCGTTAGATCTGCAAAAGTCACTGGATGATATGCCGGTGGGTCCTGCGGTTGTCCGAGTTCACAATCACGAGCAAGTCCGAATGAACATTTGGATCGGTAAGGGATCGATTTTGCCACGCGTGTCCAAAGCCATGCGCGGAGAGGTCGAAGATGCGCTCAAACAGTGCACGGAAAGCTAAATAGACTGGTTATCGCGCGAGGTCTCTTACACGGTGCATGCTTTACTCGCTCGAGGAAAGAAAAAGGAATCTTTGTTGTCTGTAACTTCGTCCTCTTCGTCCACACCACCATCCTTCTGACGCTGGCGTGCGGAAGCCAAGAGTGGTCTACTTATAAGCTGGCGATACATTTGATGATTCGGCCATCCGCAAACCTTACATCGAAATAGGAAGAGCCCTGAATTGCTGAGGTGTTGGGTAGACTTCTACGTACTGGGGCTAGTGACGCTCTGTTCAGACCAAGCAACAACATCGATTAGCAACAATCAGCCAAGCTATAAATGACGGTACATCAACATTTGAACGTGCTAGTTGAGGTCTTGGTCTCCAACTTAGCAGAACATCCGTTGCAGAGCACACAGCTGATGGCCTTGAGATTGGTGATGGTGTCTTGGATAACTCCGTGAGTCTATTGGATTCCGGTCAAAAACCAACGTTCAATAACTATAAAGTTTGAATTAAAATGTCAGCGAAGCGCAGCTCACCTTGAGCAGCTTTAAACCCTTTACGGCATTGTACTTTGCTTTTTCTTGACTTCTCAGTGTCCGACTCGTCACTAGAGGGGAGCAAGAAACACGTCTTCTGTATTGACCAGGACTTGTGTATTGCACTGAGAATTGCTGACTGGTTTTGCGTCTTTGAACGCGTTGACTTGTCTACAGAAAGCTACAAACGAGTAACTCCATCACTCATTCATCAATAGCTGATCATCAAGTAATAGTAGCCTACAAGTTTCCTGTTATTTTCAATTCGTGTGGATGCAGTTTTCTTTATCTTGGTGCGTTTGGCATATCTCTGATTAGTACGTGGCTCTGTTTGTTCAATTGTGAGATATCTTCAAAACCAAGCGTGTCGATTGTTGAATGCTGTTGGGCGGCAACTTCTGCAATGGATACACAATGCCACATGAAAAGAGGCGTTGATGTCTCCAGAAACACCAACGGCTGCAAGCAACGGACAGTATCACACTGATGAAGGGTATTTTTTATTATCAATAAGTCAACGATGCTATATAGATAATTCCTCATTAATTTGTTGTCTACGCCACGTAGTTAACTTGTCCAGTGACCACCACAAAAGGCGAGTCGTACACAAGTTCTCATGATGAGGTTTGCATTAAATGTAAGCTGATGGTGCTGCATCTTAAGGTGGTAAAAGAGTCGGAGGAAGTAAGGCAAAGGCAACCAGAATTCGTCATTTACTTCAGCTCTTTCAACCATGCCATAATCATAAGAGGGTACGCTAAGCTTCAAAAATCATAGACCCGTACGACTTCACTATGTTTTCAGTAGCCACTTTTTTGGTAATGATTGACAGCCTAATAGTCCAGAATTCTTTAGAATAGAAGCGTGCAATTGTACAGTATTTTGCGGCAAGCGAAGTAACGTTAAGCATGGAAACCTGACATAACCACCGAAAACAGAAGCGTCTTTGGCTTGGTATTTCCATTAAATGAGCAGAGTTGAGAGATCAAAGCTTCAGGGGTCAGAGCAGCTCCTTCACTTGCTTCTATTTACTGACAATGTGCAACGTCATTATTCGTACAGAAGTCGAAAGATGAAATGCATTGCAATCAGTTGATTCAATGGAGCTTCTATCAAGAAATACATTTGCCTTTCCAAATATAGTTTACGAATATATAATTAGTAAGATTTCTTACACTAGTATATTCTCAAGCTTCAATCAAAACGCCATCCATCATAAATAGACGGATAGATTAATCTTAACGAGTGCATGATGCAGAAGCTCTTTACCTAATTGTTTCTAGCTAGATGAAGAGGAGGAACAAACCATCCATTTGAACAGTTACCACTTCAGTCTTGAAACACAAAAAGCTTCTCCCTTCAATCACTTCGTAATGATCAACAACGAAATGGTAAAACAACCAAACAGCATCACGACACTCTCAAATTTGCTTCCTTCCATTTTCTCAAGATGCAGTGGGCTTTTGCACTCCTTCTAGCTGCTGTTGCAACGTTGATGTCGTCGCACAGACAACAGGTCAACAAGTGGAAATCCTTATCGGTGCCGGGTGCAAGTTTTCCAACTACTCAACACTGCCAATAGCGATTGGAAAAGAGCCTTCTTATCTCCTCAAGCTCGACTCTGGGCTCGGGAAGGGCATTTACCTACTGCATTTCACGCAATTTAATCTACCAGAAACCGACGTACTGGTATTGAGAGCGTCTAATGATCCGATTACGACACCACCGGTGGCAATACTAGCGGGGAAGAACGCAACGGGAACGTTTTACTCTACTGCGATATCGGGAGATGGAGTGAAGCTGGAGCTTTTCAAGTCATCAGTTCCGGACACGACCAATTCGACTTCGTGTCGAGGCTTTACCGTTGATGGCCTGCTCTTTACTCCGAAAGAGCTGGTAGATGAGGCTCAGCACCGGAAAGTAGCTATCAAATTGCCTTTGACTAACCGTGCCAACATGACAGACAGCGACGACGACGACGACGACGACGACAACGTCAATAAGGAAAGTGTCTGTGGCGCAGACGAATCTGTCGAAGCTGCTTGTGCGCCCAGTGCTACGAACAGTGCGGAAGGAGCAGTCATGTTGGCCAAGTCGCATTCCGTGGCTCGACTTTCAATCATCAAAGATAATGGCATGTTAATTGCATACTGCACCGGCTGGCTGCTTGGTTGCGACGGCCACTTGATCACGAACCAGCACTGTATTGGCAGTACAGAAGACGCGATCAATACAAAGGTGGAGTTTTTTGCTCAAGCAACCAGTTGTGGAAGTAGCGAGGATTGTGATACTCGGGGTGGATGTCCAGGGTCAGTTGGCGTGACGTCTACAACACTTGTAGCTGTGTCAGAAGCGTTAGATTATGCGTTGGTTCGACTTGATATCAACAATAGTGTTGCAGATTATGCTGGATTGTATGAGAAGACGGGTGGCTATCTGCAGCTCCGTGGCTCAGGAGCTGTCCTTGAAGAGAACATCTACATCCCGCAACATCCGTTGGGGTATGGCAAACGCATCGCGTGGCTACATAATGGTCAACCTGGTCGTGTCGAGTCTCTCACCGTCACGGGATGTCGCAAAAACGACGTGGGTTACTACGTGGACACGCAAGAAGGGTCGTCAGGGTCGCCGATTCTTGCCACGAGTGACAATAAGGTCATTGCGATACATCACTGCGGCGATTGCTTAAATGGAGCTATTCCATCGCAAGCGATTATTGAGGATCTCACCGCCAAAGGCGTTCTGCCGAAATGCTCCGTCGCAGAAGAGAACAGTACAACTACAAGTGCTTAAATTGAAGCAGCAGCGAAGATGTCGATAGCTTGTAGATTGGAAAGGTTTGGCAAGATCAGAAAATAACAAAACATTCTTTCGGATCCACAAAGTTGTTTGGTTTATCCACTCGTCTTTAGATAAAGTCTACGCAGCATCTCCAGCGCCCATTTCCAGCTTCGCATTGTAGACAACGTTGTCATGGTCCATCGAGGCTACCAGTGCAGCCCAATTATCGAATTCGCGACGATTTGCTTGCAACACGGCATATCTCCGATTTCCACCGCGTCTTTGCCCAAGAGCATGCGACTGGGGATTGTCTTGCCAGCGCAACGACCGGTCTTGGTGAAATAAGTTTTTAATATAGTGTTAAAAATAGTGTAGAAATAGGAATCCTTGAATAGGTAATCGTAGATATACGAAAGTTTTCGCTGGGCTGCTAACTCTTCCCGCGTGTCGATGCCTGCTGTGTCCAGCCGCAGCGCCATCGCGCGCTGCGCCAGCCCAAAGTTCTTCTTCCACTGCTTTATGACCCGGGAGCGTAGGTGAACCGCCGCCCCATACTCCCGGTGCGTCGGGTAGTCACCTTCTTCAGGCTCCTTCGGGACTACGTCGGTAGGCGGTGGCCACACGGTCGGGGTATACTTTGTCCAGTTTGGCATGATCTGCATGCTCCTTCTTCCTTCCTCTTCTCCGTTCGTGCTCGACATTCTTCGTCTTCGGTGTCTTCTTCGTCATCGTCGGTGTTGTGTGGTTGGCTTGGTCTTCGTCGCGTGTTAAACCTCGTATTTATTGTATGATTTGGCCCGGCCTCGGTCGCGGAAAGGACCGACTGGGGTGGTCAAGAAGACGCCGGAAGGGGGGAGTCAGAAGGTTGCCCTACGTGGTGGCCGGAAAGATCATCCACCCGAGTATGGTGGCGTCCAGCACCCAACGAAGAAAGGAAGAGAGCGGCGCAGCTCCACTCGAGGAGGACGAGCAGAGTGAAAATGTAGAGCGTGACGATGAAGAAGAAATTGCGGAGGAGATCGATCTGACGCAAGCGGATAGCGATGACGAGGATCCAGCCAACGGAACGCATCACTCATTCATCAATAGCTGATCATCAAGTAATAGTAGCCTACGAGTTTCCTGTTATTTCCAATTCGTGTGGATGCAGTTTTCTTCATCTTGGTGCGTTTGGCATATCTCTGATTAGTACGTGGCTCTGTTTGTTCAATTGTGAGATATCTTCAAAACCAAGCGTGTCGATTGTTGAATGCTGTTGGGCGGCAACTTCTGCAATGGATACACAATGCTACATGAAAGGAAGCGTTGATGTCTCCAGAAACGCCAACGGATGCAAGCAACGGACAGTATCACACTGATGAAGGGTATTTTTTATTATCAATAATTCAACGATGCTATATAGATAATTCCTCATTAATTTGTTGTCTACGCCACGTAGTTAACTTGTCCAGTGACCACCACAAAGGCGAGTCGTGCACAAGTTCTCATGATGAGGTTTGCATTAAATGTAAGCTGATGGTGCTGCATCTTAAGGTGGTAAAAGAGTCGGAGGAAGTAAGGCAAAGGCAACCAGAATTCGTCATTTACTTCAGCTCTTTCAACCATGCCATAAACATAAGAGGGTACGCTAAGCTTCAAAAATCATAGACCCGTACGACTTCACTATGTTTTCAGTAGCCACTTTTTTGGTAATGATTGACAGCCTAAATAGTCCAGAATTCTTTAGAATAGAAGCGTGCAATTGTATTTTGCGGCAAGTGAAGTAACGTTAAGCATGGAAACCTGACATACATCGTTAGAAATGCCTGTTTAGAAACGTCTTGTCAGTCATTTTTGTGTTGAAGTTCAACTGCTATACCATGTGACAGTGACACCTGATTGGTCGAGTCCACAAACGACTTGACAGATGGTGAGGCGAGGCGACGACGGTGACAGATGGTAAGACAAGGAGACGACTGGGACAGACGTCGTAAGAGGTGTTTTGATAAGACGGTGCCGAACAGGTGGCGGGACGAGGCAGCGACATGACCTGTTGGGCGACATGGCGACGGCTCACAATATAAGAGGAAAGACGGACGCAATCATGTTATGGTCAAGTTGCAGTGCATGTTATATTGAAGTGTTAGCGAACGGAGATAACATCTTAATATATTCACTTCTACTTCTACCTCTTCGCACACAAGTGCAACAAAGTTCCAAATCGCAACTTCTCTACATACATAACCACCGAAAATAGAAAAGGCCTTTGGCTTGGCATTTCCATTAATAAAACAGAGTTGAGAGATCAGAGCTTCAGGGTCAGAGAAGCTACTTGCATCTATTTACTGTTTCTACAGAAGTCAGAAGATTGCAATCAATTGACCAACGAACTTTTATCATACTGTATAATTGATAGCTTTTATAGGGAATTGCTTAGTCGACCCACCCCCTTTTTGTAATCGACCCAACCAATTCATTTTATTGTTGTTTTTATTTGCTACCATTAGGATCAGTAAAAGCTCGCACGTCACACTTCAGCAATGCTACCACCCGGACACAACGTACAACTCTCTTGAGAAGATTTTAACAAGAATTGATGCTTTTGATTTCTCTTAGGGGTATGCAGTGACGAGACGTTGCTCAGATGCCAACCGGGTGACGCTCAAATGCGATCGAGGCGGTGTATTTGATGCTTCGACGGCTTTCTAGCGATACACAACGTCGTCGCAACAGCTCTCACTTAATACTTCATTAGACGGACGCTGGCATCTTTCTATTTGTAATGGTGATCACAAACACGGTTCGACCAGCGATCTTACGGGCCATCCTATTACACGACGGCTGCGTTCAGAACAGCGTAAACTGACTCCGCAAATTCTTGCTGGGGTATCGCTTCAAAACATATTTTTACGGCATTACGTCAAGCTGGTCCCGACTCTCGAGCATTTGCGAAGACAATTACAATGAACAAGTACAGCTTCAAACGACTGAGCAAGCTTATCGGGAAGGTGACGCTCATGATGATTCACGTGATGAGGCCAGCTACGGATGAAGGACAGCAGTTTTAGTTGAATATCTGCAACGAAAGTAAGAAAGTTATTCACTTATTTTTTGCTCGTCCCAGCTGCATTTGGCGAGCGCAAACATATTTGTTCATTGCTGTTATAAATTGTACGTATAAAAGAAGCCGTTTTGGAATGCCAATGTCGTTGCACATTATTGGAGTTACTACTGGCTTCAATACTTCGTTTACGATTGCTATATCCTTTAGTCACATGGTAACCGAGCCGTAATATTGGTGGGTACTAGAACGCGTTGCCGATCTCTACGAAGAGAGGAAGCCCATACCGATTAACACCGATCGCGACCTGGCACTAATGAAATCATTGGTGTAACAGGGCATCTAGTTGCACGTAAACATAAAGTAATATACTTAATGTTTATCCATGATTACTTTTAACCTGTCACTTGGGTGCGATACACAAATGTGATCCACCCTCGTGAACGTGATATCCATTGATGGATATAAAGATGAAAAAAGTTTACAAGAAACAGGTATTGTTATTCACATGGGAAGGGATGACGCTGATGTCTCAGAAGCAAGCTTAAATCTAAATTTAAGTTCATGCGACAGGATACGCTTCTAAATAGTCGCGTATCCGATCTATATACATGATTAGCCAATCAGTAGTTAGGTTTTAATTTCAATTATAATTCATTAAATATAACTCAGCCTTGAATTTACGAAAACGAAAGCACCACGCACGAGAAGCTGTAGAAGATTCTGCGTGACGTCGGTGACTTGCTGTTTAGAAGTTCGTTGCACTCTCGCTCAAGCGAGAGGCAACTGGTGGTACGACTGCTAAGGCAGTCGGCCAACCTCCTAACCACCCTCGCACGCGAAGGTAGGACGGTCTAACCGCTTCCTCGCTTGTGCAGAAGGTGTGTCCTAGTAGCACGAGGCAACTATGTAGAAGTGCCCGTCTACACTTGGTAGTATTAGTAGTCCTTCCCACGACCCGTCTCTATGAGCGTGCGTGTGGACACGGATATCCCTCAATATGTGTTGGGGGGACTTTCCTCACCTCTCCCAACATCATAGAAAGTTGGCTGAGCATTTGGCGCAGGGAATTGATGAACAAGCACTAGCCAATTTCTTGCATTGTCCTCCTGAGCAACATGTTGATCAGTTGAAGAAATTCGAGGTGTTTGTCCTCGGTCAGCGCAGAAATTCGTCCGAGGCAAACAGCGAAGATACGGCTGAGTCCACCAATAAGATTCAGGATGAGCTAAGGCTTGAGCAGGCACGGAATGAGGCGCTCAACAAAACTGTTGAGACGCTCTCTGCCCAGCCTAATCAGCCAAGGCCCATTCGGATGGACCCTCCGAAGTTTGATGGGACTGCCCCACATACGATTGTCCACTGACTTTTAGCCGTGGAGCAATGTGGTATGGCGCAGCTCATCGAAGACGACATCAGGATGGTGTCGTATGCCATGTCAAATTTGCGTGGCAAAGCGTTAGAGTGGGCATACTCTGCGCTGATGGCAAACGACGATGCGTTTCCATCATAGGCGATCTTAAAGTCAAAGATTCGTGCCAAGTACCAGCAGCCTAACAACGAAGTGTTACTTCAGGCGCACTTCTTTGAAGCACAACAGGCGAAACGATTGTGGTGGAGTGGATTCTCAAACGACGTGAGAGAACCACAAACACACACAGCGCCGGACTGCCGACTTATGGAGGGGGTACCCCGATACCGTGTCGTGTCAACCTTGGTTCTCACCTTGTGTACCCGTCGGCTTGGCTGGTCTTGCTCCTCGTTATACGCAGAAGACTTATAGACTTGGTCCTTTTATGGAGGGACTTGGTGGTCCCTGAGTGGATATACTTCACTCGGGCCCAGGGTTTCTTGGGCTCAATCGACTGGGTCGAGAGCAGTGCACCTGGTACTATGTACCCCTTCGGTGGCTAACGGTTTCTTGGTCTTTCGACCCCTTTTCTTGTTCCCCGTGGGGAAACCGCTTCCTATAGCGGGTCGTAGAATGGGTACGAACCCACAGGCCAAAATACTTCCTGGGGTTCGTTCGAGCTTGAATCTTACCACACGACTGTCTTCAATGGGGGCCAAAATATATCCCTTTCCCGGAATAGGTGGGCAGATCGAAACAAGCTCGCACTTGAGTCTTGACACTTACTTGACACCTCAGGCCAACTATCCAGAGGTTCAACTTGCGTTGCTTGAGCCGTCACCTCACCTGACGTCGGTGGGCCAAAGGGTATCCCGCCCGGAATAGGTGAGGTGACGGAGAAGCTTGAAGGAAGCGCTTGAAGCTGCCACGTGTAATGCAAATTCGAGTGTGTTTATTTACCTTATACTTTGTATGCTTTTTCTTGCCTAACCCTAACCCTTTGATCTGGATAGTGCCACGTGTCGACTCTTGGAGGAAGAACTGGCTCCTTGGTACCTGTACTTTCTGTAATCTTCGATATTCTGTGTACCGATTCTGCACCCTCGGACATTGGGCCCTGGGCCCCGGTACCCCTGGGCCCCTGTACCCCTGGGCCCCTGTACCCCTGGTACCCCCGTACCCCTGGCCCCGGTATCCTGGTACCCCTGGGCCCTGTACCCTGGGTCTCGGTACCCTGGGCCCTGTACCCTGGGCCTCGGTACCTCGGTACCCTGCACCCTGTACCCTGGTCCCTGATACCCTGGGCTCTT